ATCCAAAGCTCCTTTAACTCATCAAATCTGCCAAATTTAGTGGACCGACCGACCGACTTGTTTATTCAACATTCAGTCACGACTCTTCGTCCACCACGTAGCATTTATATATCTTTGGCAATTATTCCATGTTTTCCACAGTGATTGCCGTTTATTAAGGGTTATTTAGAAGAAAAAAACCTTAAATTAGAGAAATAAGAATTGGGAAGAACATAAATGGGAGCGAGATCAATTACTTCTTGATGATTGAGTTATTGTGTCAAAGGGTGGTAGTGTGGTGGTTACATGTTTTTTTTTTTATTATGTATGTATTAATAATCATGGGGAAGTCTAGGAATCGAAATAATTGAAATACTCATACGAGGTTACATATGTTAGTAAACACAGAAAAAGTTAAAAAATCAGAATATTTATTTCTTGTGTCAAATAAGTAAATCTGCAATATGATTTTTAGGATAAAGTTTGACTAGAGAATGTTTATGTAAATAACGCTTATGCTCATAATAAAAATGTTTTTTTATTTTTTAAACAGATTTTTGTTAGAATCGTAACATTATTTTTATCAAAAATCCAAAATTTCAACAAAAATGACTTTGAAAGTGCTTCTTAAAGAATCACTTGATCTACCAAGTGCTAATACTGCTTAACCATTCTTAGTTTTTTTTTTTTTTTTTTTAAGGGACCGGCTGAGTGGTTTCGTCATGACATTCCATCATTCCAGTAGTTAGGAAGACTCACGGAGGAATTTTAACCTCCCTCTAGTCGCTATCATATGATTCATCATCGTCAAAATTCAAACTCAAAATGTGTATGAAATACGGGTTTGAAATTTGTCTATAACTATTCTTAGTTTATACACACCTAAGATGCAACAAAAAATCAATTTCATTTGATGTGGCTAAAGTACTTGATGACTCATAGCGAAAGTGGAGGACTTGGACCCATTTGCATGTGATGCAACTCTCTCTCACACTTTCTCCGGATGCTTGATTTTGTCGACAGGTTTTAAAGTTGGGATTTGAAATTTGTCACCAAAAAAGTAAAAGTGCATAACATAACATTAACATGGGAGGCTTAATTAAAAAGATGAGTGAGGTTAGGGAAATTAATTTTTTTAAATTAAATTTACAAATCATTAATGTGGTTGTAGATAATTTAATTATTAATTAATTATCGATTAACGTTTTGTTTTTTATTAGTAACAGTCATTTAGTTTACACAATTTCGTTTAAAAGTTTAGTCTCACTAACATTACTCTAAAATGATTGTCAATCAAATTATAATACCACCAATGCTTTTCTCCTGATTGCCCTTAAATTGCGGAGACCAACTTTGACTGCATTTTAAAAGCAATTTTTTATTTATTATTTATTTGGTTTTTTCTTTTTATTCAAACAATCAATAAAAGATTTATACCAAAAAACATTTTTTAAAACAAAATAAGATATTTCATTCATTTAAAAAATGGCATCACAAATACATATAATGAATAATTCTGCTCTCAAATAGCAAATAGTCATTGTAAACTAGATCTAAAAAATATTACAATAAAACATCACTAATCACAAAACAATAAGTAAACTTCAAACACTCGTCTGAGCTAATCGAGAATTGCAAGATTAAGAAAAAAGAAACTGAAGAATGGATACTTTGCAAGAGATAAAAAAACTCAATAATCATCTTTTTTTTTCTTTCTATAGCATAACTTAAACTAAAGTTTTTTCAGAACGCTCACATTAATAATATTATTAAACCTTATGTTACACGAAGATCATGCGAGAACAAAATCTCAAATAAGGAGAAAATTATTATTATTATTATTTTGAAACAGATTACCACTCTTTTAAATTAATTAAAGGTTATACTCTTTAATGTGAATAATATGTTGAAGGTAGCGATTAGATTCTAGTTAATTACCTGCGATTAAGCTGATTGAATGATTAAGCTTATAAGTAGGATGAAATTGCCAAACCGTTTATGTTTAATGTGTTTGAGATGGGCCTTTTTAAAAAAGACAGAAAAACATAAAATTGGGCCTATCTAAAGGCCTCAAATTTGACAAATTAACAAACAAAGAAATTTGGGCCTATCTTAAGGATTCTAACCCAGGCCATGTAGGACATACAGTTTTATCTATGTCAACACATTTCTTTTGGTACAACGATGAATTTAATGGGTGAAACAATTTTACATAAATAAAATATAATTTACTGCTTAAAGTAATTTTTTTTTCCGACACAGATATTATCCATACTAAGGGGTAGTGATGTGAGTTAAACTTCACAATGAGCTAGCAATATTGCAGTTCAAGTTCGCCTTTAATGAAAATCGAACATAAGACCTCTCACTTACAAGTAAATAGGAATACCACTAGATCATAATACTAAGTGGCAAAGTAATTTTTTTAGAACAGGTTGACATGGGGCAATGGTTCTCACGGTGGTTGCGTTTGTGTTGGGTACCATTTAAGTATTGGATATGTTTTAATTGTGGTAGTGAATAATGGTGTTTGTGCTGGTGACGGTGATGACAGAGTATTCCAAGATGCCAATTCACTGTCCATGCATTGCACTTGTTGTCCCTAGCCAATCCTAGTCATGTTAGAACATGTTAGAAATGGGTAAGGAGAAGGTTTAGACATGACATGTTGCTGGGTATCATAGGGCTTGGATCCTAGGGTTGAAACCAAAGTCCGAACCTTGATTTGGCTAAGATAAACCTATTTAAGCTCAACCCGATTAAGCTTTCAGACGAAAACTCATATTTTCCGATGTGAGATTTATATTCTCAACAGTGAGAAAGCTATCACCAATTGATTGTGATTTGCATTACTACTACTACCTAAACCCTTTTTTAACTTTCTTTCTAAAGCATTGTTCATGCTTTTGATCGTGTGACTTTTGATATCACTAATAGATTGTAGAAAGCGAGAGATGCATGTCTCACAACTAAGTCGACTGTACGCAGTGAGATAATTAGACCTCTTTATGGATGTGGGACTCTAGCAATTGCTCTTATCAACCATGTGTTTGTTTTTTGTTACAAAAGGGAAGATTATGTGGTGGTTCAATCAATACACAAGTTATGCTACTTGCAAGGTATAAGGATTATAAGAGTCTCATATCGGAAAATGCAAATTGATTGTCGTATATCTTGTGGTTGCATTTTTAATTATACTGTGATTTTTTATTACAAAATCATGACGGTAAAATGCTAGTTGTTGAAAGTGATTAGTGTCATTAGCTGTGGCCCGGGACTTAACTCTTTAAAATCTTAATAGTTAAAACAGAATCAAAGATCCAACTTCTCATAACGTTGACTTGTGCCTCATTGTTAAGCTTAAAAGAGTCACGTGTTGGTGAAAAGAAAAACCTTGCAAGAGCCTATAAGAGGTTGGACTACTCCCTATATTGTTAATTGGTTTTATGGTGTCAGGTCATGTTGACCACGTGTGAAGCCCACGGCCATACGTGCTCCAAGTCATCCAATTCTTGATGTCCATGTATTTGACTTGAAAATTCGCCACGTATGAAGCTCAACAACCACATGTGCTCTACACCACCCAATTCTTGATGCATAGAGCATCTCTAATACAGTCTCTATATAGGGACAACCACCATATAAAATTAGTATAAAAAAAATATAGGGACACAATGAATCTCCAATGGATTAGAAAGTGAGTCCCTAAAGTATAGGGACTCGCCGGATACTTGGTATATGTACTCACATATAGGGACTCTATAGGAATTGAAATGGTGGATCCAATAGGACAATTTAAGTGGAAAAGCAGGCGTGGGTCCCAGTCACATGGTCTTGTCTTTTTTTTTTTTTTTTTCATTTCAACTGTTTAAAATGGAGGGTTCAAATTGATTCTTGTTTTTCAAATTTTTTTACCATTGAAAGATAACCATTTTAATTTAGGTTACTCTCTCATGTTGGTTTTCAAAAAAATTTTCTCTTTTCACATTGCCTCCGTTGAAAGATTAATAATTTCAATTTGGGTTACTCTCTCATGTTGTTCTCTCATCATTCCTCTAAATACCAAATTATCTAACCAAAACTTATCACAACTTCATCTCCTGTACTCAGTTCACTCACTCAATTCACTCATTCTAGTTACGTTTTTGTAAAGAAAAAAATTGGTTCAGAATTTGAAATTTTTTCTGTTAAAATGTTCACAAAAATATTTTACGAGAACGTAATGTTAAATTAAATAAAAAAATGTGCACCTAATCAAATTATCACACAAAATTGCAAAAAATTCAAATTTAGGAATTCTATTATAAGGACTCTCCCATTGGAGGTAATATTCCTTTAGGAACACAAAGATTCTCTTTAAGTCCTTAAATGAGTACTCAAAAGTGGTGGTAGGAGTCCCTAAATAAGGACTCCCATTGGAGATGCTTTCACGTATTTGGTTTGAAAATTCATCACACATGAGGGAGCGTGTTAGGATGTGAAGATAAAAGAGTCATATCCTTGAAAGGAAACCTTGTATAAAGTTATAAAAAGTAGACAACTCCCCATATTACTTAGTTTTACGGTGTAACCTCTTCTAGCATCGCTCTACTAGTACTATCAATGAAGTAAAGCCTCCACTACTTTGACTAGAAAAAGACTTGGCCATTGGGAACAGATCAGAAGACCCATTGCAGAGAAAAGTCTTGGTCTTCGTTTTTTTATCTCCGTCAATTCGAACAACTAGCCTATTGTTGAAAAGTCTCAATTTCAGTTGGCAATGTTGAAAAGTCTCAATGTCAGTTGGCAATGAATGCCCACAAAGCAGAAGTCTTCTGCATGGGCAAAGTTTTCAATGCCCATGCTGAATGAAAGTGTCAGATGATGCGTTTTAAATTTCAAGATGCATTAACTGCATCAGTTCGGAGTTACTCTATAAATAGAGCACTCCGCATGTAACAGAAAATAGATGAAGAAGAAAAACAAGAGAGAAATATCAATAACATTATATATTCCTCTGCCTTTTATTATCTGTCTGTGCTATAGTTTTTGTGTGGCATTTTACATCTGCCTTGCACCTACCACTTAAAAGGTTATCTCTCAAACTTTAACCCTTTTATAACACCTATCTCAATTTATACGGCAGAAAAAAGTCTTAATTTCTGGATCTCCTGATCATCAGTTGCTAATTTCCAGAATGCTAGCAAGATTATTCAGTTTCTGCATTTCAACCAATTTTTTATTGTGATTGGCTTTACCACTACTACCCAACCCCTTTTATTAATGAGAGAGGATTCCCGCCGAATCCTCTTTGTGAGGATTCCAAAGATCATCAAATCACATCCGTCCATCGTGCGATAAGAGAAAAGTCTTAATTTATATGGAAGAGTCTCCATAGTCAATTCGAACAACTTTGTCTTCATTTGTGGAAGAGAAAAGTCTTAATTTTTCGGTCTCGAGACCATCACTTGGTAATTTCCAGAATGCTAGCAAGTTTATTCAGTTTCTGCAACTCTTCACTTTGTCCAAATTCCACACCCAACACCCCCCCCCCCCTCTTTTTCCTCCTCCTCCTCTCTCTGTCTCTCTGTTATGTAGAAGGCGTGTAAAAGGGCATGCAAGCAACCATCTAGGGTATCGCTGCTATAAAGCCCCCGGTACCGAGTGATGGCTAAGTGCAAAGTAACGTTTGATGTGGAGAACTCGAAAAGGTAAGTTGTGAGCTCAGCTTCCATGCATTTCTTTTTGGGGTTTTTGAATATTAATCCTTTAAGAAAATTAAAATTTAATAAAAACCAGGTGTTAGATTGAATATTGATTTTAGTTCCTTAATGTGTGTACTTAATTCAAATTCATATTATATTTTTGTTTTTATATTTAATAGATAACTTATTTAATGTTATTATAATAAAATTTTAAATTTATTATTATACACATTTTAATTCATTAATTTTATTTAACTTTCTCTAATTAGTGTACCTAAACGTTCGTGTCATAATATATTTTACTAAATTAGTGTACCGAAATGTCCATACCTAAATATATTGTAGTGAATTAGTGACATATAAGAAAATATGTAAAAACATAAGTATGCCGAAAATTCCTTACCTAACTATATGATACTAAACTAGTGTACCGAAATGTCGGTACCTAAATATATTATACTAAACTAATGTACCGAAATCTTCATATCTAAACATATTATACTAACCAGTGTACCGAAATGTTCGGACCTGAACATATTGTAATGAATTAGTGGCAGATAAGAAAATATGCAAAAACATAAGTGTACCGAAACATCTATACGAAAATATTTTCTTGGGTAAATTACATTTTACCTCCTTAGGTTTGGGATCAGAGTATTGGTGCTCGGAGTAGAAGAGCTCGCCGCGGACACCGGAATCTGGTCAACCCGACCTTTCTCCAGCATCCGGAGCACCGATTGACCACACGCCTTTTCGGAGATTCGCCTGATCTCACGATCTTCGACGTCGTCGTCTTCTAGAAGTTCTCAGCTGGGCCTCGAAGATTAAGGTGGGTCGGGGGTGGTGAAGATGGAGGAGTGGGTCTGGGGAGAGAGAGAAAGGATGGGAGGTGAAGAGGGAGGAGATGGAGAAGTGGGTTGGGGGGTTTTCTGGGTTTGTTTGGTGGTTGTTTTTTTTTTTTTTAATATGGTAAATATTATTATAATTTAAATGCATAAAAAGTTATTTTTTTGCCACGTGGCACAAATGTAACAACTATGTCAGCACAAATGTGGATCATATGTTTTCCACATCATCACTTAACAGATTTTCTAGTGGATATATGAAATTGAAATAAAATGATAAGTGAATGTATGAAATTGAAATGTTTTAAAGATGTTGTAAAGAATTGAAATTGACCCCAAACTTGAGGGGGTAAAATGTAATTTATCCTATTTTCTTATATAAGATGCTACCATAATGAGAATTAAAATTTATAATATTTTCATAAAATTATAAATAAAAAAAAGAGATATTAAATACGTATGCTGGTATCAAATAGAGTCTAGAGACAAAAATCAATTTTTAATTTTGTATAAGATATTTTCCGAAACTTCATCTTATTTAGGGATTAAAATCTAGTTTTCTATTTCTTTTTTCCCTTTTTACGTAAGTGTGGCATCAAATAATAGGGTCGTATCTCCAATTAAGCCTTTCATCTACCAAGTAACAGTATTTGTCTCAACTTAGTTGAAAGAAATCTTAAATTTAGTTTACATAGAAATTATAAGTATTTATAGCGTTTTTTTTTTCCAGTACTAAACAACAGTACGAACATGAGACAAATGAAGAATATTATGGAGCACATAAAGAACTACCAATTAATCCAAAATTTCTAGATGTACGTGGGCTAACATTCCTCGTAACGTGGAAGAAGATATTTGCAATATCATGTGCAATTGGAGTCTTGGTGGATCCTTTATTCTTCTATATTCCTTTCGTCAATAAGAATATGAAGTGCTTCGAGTTGGATAAAAAGTTGAAGAATATAGCTCTTGTATCACGATTACTTACAGATTTCATGTATGTAATTGACATTATCCTTCAAATTTGGATCGTGATTTTGGCAAAACGAAGGATATTAGTCAGTAATCCTTTGGCAATGTTGGGCAAGTGGGCTTGGAAATCATACATTATAATGGACATTTTGGCCATTCTTCCTGCACCTCAGGTACGACAACTCCTTATTACATTCTGAGTCTAAATAGCCGCTCCTAACATATGGTATTTCGGGCTCCGTCTGAGATTTTCTTGCAACATTCATCCTTTATGATATAACATACTCACAGACTCACAAGAGGGATCTCTCTGAGTACACACACATGTACATCTATGTGAAATTCGGACTTACCAATATGTTAGTTAATTCAATTCCAAATTATGATTATATTTGTTGATTATCCAATGTTATGCCAGGTTTTAACATTTATATTGTTTCCAAAAACGAGGGGCTCAAGTTCTTTGCTTGCTAAGGAGTTTATGACTACTTTTGCTCTGTTACAATATGTCCCACGGGTTATTCGCATCTACGTAGCATGTAAAGAATTCAACAAGACTCCTACAACCGAGACTAGAATATGGATATTTTTCAAAGGTGGATTCAGTCTCTTCCTTTACATCCTTACTAGTCATGTAAGTTTCGTTCACATATATGAATCTTTTCAAAACAAAAACAGCTCAAATCCTGTACAATCATTAACTCACGCACTGCTCGTTGGTCCTTCAGGTACTTGGAGCTTTTTGGTACTTTTTAGCTATGCAACGAGAGTCAACTTGCTGGCAACTTGCTTGTCAAAGTGATCAAAATGGATGTAAACCTAGTACTTTTTATTGCAATGATCGTTTGTTCCAAAAGATCACAACCCTAAATGATTTATGCCCTATAAATCCGTCAGATGCAAAGGTTTTCAATTTTGGGATATTTCTTGATGCTCTTCAATCTGGTGTGGTGGAGTCAACAGACTTTCCCAGAAAGATTTTGCATTGTTTCTGGTGGGGACTTCGAAATCTAAGGTTTGTACATGGATAGAGCAGCAAAGAATTTCCGTTAACGACTGCACAAGAAGTTATTGAAGATTTTCTTACTTCCAGGCTCTGCGATCATTGAATTTAATTATACTTCAGCTATTATTTCTTCTATGTGATTTTTGCATGCAGTTCTCTCGGATCAAACCTCGAGACCAGTAACTACGCAATGGAAAATCTGTTTGCCGTTTTTATTTCTTTATTTGGCTTGCTACTATTTATATTTTACCTCAGTGGAAATTTGCAGCAGGTTGGTGACCAATAACATCTTTGAACCCTAGCCCTCATTCCTGGTTTTGATATTTGAGGATTTAATGAACTGATGACCTCACTGTGTAATAGATATGGACGCATAGGGTAACTAAATCATCAGCGAAGAGGAAAGTTCTACGGCAGATGGAATTGAAAAAGTTAGAGATCCATCGCTGGTTATCTGAAAATGGCATTGGCATCCCTAAGCGTATGAAGAAGGTGATGATACAAAGGCTACAAATACATCTAGAAGGAGACAAAAACATCGATGTTAATATGAAGAGTATCATCTCTATTGTTTCCGTGGAAGATAGAAGATTAATCAAACTCTATTTAAGCTGGTCTATTCTAAAAAAAGTAAGTTAATTACTCCAATTCTCTGAATTAAGTATGTTCTGGATACATGCAATATGGAAGCATCACTTTAGTAGCCTCGTGTCGTTAACTAGTACTCTACTAATACCCTTCAATGTTTTCAAGCGGTACCGTAGAATTTCCCTTGTGTTCCTTAGTAGCTATTTTGTCGTATTTATTCGCTTCATTTTTTCTTAATATATCTTACTGTAGGTGCCAATGTTTCAAACCCTGGATGAAAAAGTTCTGAAAGAAATTTGTCGAAGCCTTGAGCCTGTGATGTTTACTGAGGATACCTACATTGTTAAAGAGGGGAAACCGCTTGATAAGATGCTATTCATCACGCAAGGCATTGTATGGAGCTACGGATTTAGTAATAATAATAACACTAATAATACTGAATGCACTCGTTGTCTTAAGAAAGGTGATTTCTACGGAGAAGAACTTCTAAACTGGGTATCGAAAGTTAGCTACTTCACTGCCTTACCGATCTCGACCAGGTCTGTCAAGTCCCACACAAATGTTGAAGCCTTTGTTCTAAGGGCTTACGACTTGAAAACTATAGTCTCCAAAAACTGGTTGCATTTTTTCAAGTTCACTCCGTCCTCTCAGAAGCAGCATCTTGCAGCTTCTTCGCTTCAAAAAAGTTGGCGCCGCCATCTTGAAAAGAAGGCACGGGCTGTGCATCTTGCCCAGCTGAGAGAAATGGGGAATAAAAAGATAACGGATGAAGTACCTCTTCTAGGTCAGTTCAAGTAGTTCGATCAATACTTGTGTACTTAAATTGATGCATATTATTTCAGCACATATGGTGTGTCATATTATCTACTTATATTTGTAACTAAGAAGAATTCATGTTCAGAAATCTGTTCAGAACTCCAGAATATTACTTACTAATTTAAGAAGGGAGAGGATTAACTAAATCATTTGTTTCCATCCGACGGAAGACAAGGTCCATATAAGTAACAAACCAGAATTTCAAGAGCACACAATATTCATCCTCTCACAGGTTCGTTGTGTTATTTTCTGCTGAGCATTAGCAAAAAGGTTCTTGTGGGGTTGGTTCGGGAGGTGTATGCCGAAGGTTTTTGAAAAATATTTCGGTAGTAGCTGCCGAACTTGCCTGACAATTCGCGGATACGAACCTGTAAGAGGATGAAGTTGGTGTTATTTTTTAGGGGTTGGAGAGAGTGAATGAGTGTAGAAAGAATAGAGTTTCGTATGAGGATGGACGGGAAGGATTATTTTGTGTTTTTTTGGGTAAACAATTTTCAATTTCTGAAAAGAGAGATGTTAGTGGCAAGTGTCTTGTAGCCCATTTTGTCACGCTCCGATCTCGACATACATTCATGATCAACACGTGACATCACTAAATATCCGTATCTCTAACATACCCCGCCCCCAGGATATGTACAAAGCATAATTCAATATTCGAATTGCGTTGTAATTTTCGTGTATTTTATGGTTGCATCTAACCTCCTCGTTAGACTGCATACGTACACTCAACAGGGATCAAGCCATTCGTAGTTCGTCAATTCACTACACTTGAATATTCATCACATAAATTGCTATATCTCAACAATACTACAATGCATATCATGCAATATTTCAAAGAACAAACGACGAAGCACAATCATATTCTCTAGCCATATTGATCAACAAATCTACTCATCGTGCCCATAATCACAATCAACATAATTCCACATTCACATCATCAATAAAACACAATACACCAAAATGCAGGGCTTGTGGAACACAGTTCGGGCGAAACCTACAACTTTGAAGCTGACTCGAATCTAAGGAACCAACAAGTCAAATGATGCGATTTCGAATCACTCAACGAAATCCATCAACATCAGGTTTCAGACTATTCAACGGAACCAAAACACCAAGTAAGAGGAATTTCAGACCATCGCTCAACGGAATCCAAACCAGGATACGATTCCAGACCATCACTCAACGGAATCGCGTAGTGGAGTATGAGGGATTATGGACCATCACTCAACAGAACCCAAACCAGGATACAATTCCGGACCATCACTCAATGGAATCGTGGAGTAGAGTATGAGGGATTCCGGACCATCACTCAACAGAATCCAAACTAGGATATAATTCCGGACCATCATTCAACGAAATCGTGGAGTAGAGTAGGAGGGATTTCGGACCATCACTCAACGAAATCCAAACCAATATACGATTCTGGACCACCACTCAACAGAATCACGGAGTGGAGTAGGAAGGATTCCAGACCATCACTCAACAGAATTGTGGAGTACAACGCATAACAACCAATCAATGAAACAATATATGAATCAAGTTACTCAAGTTATAAAGGCTCAACGAAACAAGAAATGAAATAATGAAACGAGGGGTGAGACACGTTTTGAAGCAACAAGCAATAAACCCTGTAACAATGGGTTAACGGTCCACCACTAGCCCTCATCTTTCATCACATCAAGTCAATCATACAAAACAAACCATATTCCCAATATGCACGTCAAATCCCACTTCATAAAACTACATCAATGGCTAAATATAAAAATTAACAATTTATAGGAAACATAATTATAAAACCATTTCATATTCACATATATTAAAATCACTCACATTTCATCATATCATACCATCTATACAAATCAATCACCTTTCAAATATGCACGTCAAATCACATATTACGATCATCATCAGTACACAAGCCAAATCATGTTTAATAAACATAGGTCTATGGCTAAATATATATATATATGTATATATATATATATGTGTATATATATATGTGTATATATATATATAATCACATTTCTATAGAAATCACATTATAAAACCAAGTCATATTCACAGATGATACCAACATAAGAAATCAAGGTGATAACCATATCACATATGTTCAAGTCACTCTCTAACCAATGTAGGCCCACTAGACTTCACTTAAATCTCTCGTAGTACTAATTTTAGTATTCAGAACGTTTCGAGACATGTTGACCAAAAGTCAACTCTCGGTCAAAGGTAGGGTCCACAATTCTACAAAATTCAACCTAGAAAATCCGCACATTGGATTTCGGATCTATAACTTTTTAAAGTCCACATTATGCTTCTAAAACAACGTACTAAAATTTCATCGTGATCCGACGGTCAGATCTCCGCTAATTACAAATTCAAGTGACGGTCAACTGTTTGATTTTACAAACTTAGAAATTCAATTCAGGAAGATCCATACGTCGGATCCCCAATCCGTAAGTTTCTATGGTCCTCAAATATTATGTATTATAAGGTATTAAAGTTTGGTAACAATCCAACAGTCGGATCATCGATTCATATTTTAATCAAGTAATGTATCATAGTGAAATTAGGTTCAACAATCAATCCACGTCATACGAATATTAAATACAAAATCAGGACATCTAATTGAACTTAGAAAGGCATTTTCGGCCCACTGGCCACCCGCCACCGCGTGTGGCGGTTTCCGGTGAACGGAAACCCAATTTTCCGACTAACTCCAAAAATTACCAAATTTCACAGAAATGTAGATCTTGATGAGTAGAGCAAGTTTCATACATGTGGCCAAGTCCAATCTGGCCGGGGAAAGCCCCAAATTCACTCAAACCAGCCAGAAACCCTAAGATGGGTGCTCTTCGATTCGACTTCCTCGATGTTCCAACGCCCTACAACTGATTGGGTCTTATTCTGGGTCCAAGGGGAGTTGATTAAGGGTGGTGGTAGGTGGTGTAACTTGCCGGAACGGCAGAATCGCCATCGAGCACCTTCAGGTGTTCGGGTGAAGTTCTACACGAAATTGGACCTTAAACCTTTCGAAATGGAAGATAGGAAGTTACTGAGAGTTTTGCAGGTGTTGGATGGTGGTGATTCAACGGGAAAAATGGTGGAATCGTTGGAATTAAGCTGGGTGGAAACCGGGTTACATGGGTCACGGGAATGGAGGGGGGAATTCCCTTCCATCCATTTGTCTGATTGGATCCAATTTTAAGTCATACCTCGTAGGGCCAAATTCCCACAAAGTGGGAGTTTATTTAATTTAACATCTAAAGTTTTGAAAAATGACTTCAAAGGTTCGTAACTATACCGTTACAATCTAGATTCGTAAACAATTTTCGCCTATGCGATGATGCTTTCAAGATCTATTCAAAAATATAAACCATGACCTCGAAAGGTCTACGGATTTTAGATAATTAATTTCCAAACTTCAAACTTCGTAACTAGTTTGATTAAATCTGAATTCAAATAAATTATTATAATTTCTCGAAAAACAATATAAAATCTCAATAATACAAATACGTAAATTATCCTATCTTTTGTAAGGAAAAAAAAAAGATGTCATTAACATTTCAAAAATGTCTGTATTATGAGGTCTATTGTAACATGCACTTTCATCCTAATTTGACCCAAAAAAACGCAAGTACAAATAAAATAAAAATAAAAATGAAAAAGCAACAAAAAAACAAAAGAAAATAGTCAAATTATTTTCGTGTTTTTAATTTTGTTTAAAATAAAAACTAAAACGGTTAATTAGAAAACCAGTCAACAAAGATTGGTCATGTTTCCAGAGTGAGAACATAGGAGGGCAAAGCCTGTCTGCCGCTGAGTTCTTTTCAGCCGTACTCTGTTTTTCATTGAAGTGTTTTCGACCTAATTTAAAGAAGATATATTCCAAAGCCAGGACAACAACTTTGTTCAATCTGCCTTCAACCTTGTTCTACAAGATTGGGGGAGAAAAAACACATTTCAAACGTTAACTGTATAGTCAATCAATTTATTGTGTCCATTGCATGAAGCAGAGAAAAATCACTTTCCTCCTAAATGTTTTCGTTTCTGGTTTTCCTTACAGCATATGTTCCACGGAATCAATGTTCATCAGAACATACTCAGAAAAACAGGATGAACAAATTCCTGTTTGACATAAATATAAATAGCAGAAGTAACAGCAAACTTCAAACTTCACAGAAACAATAACTTCTCTTCCCGCTCTTAGCGCATTGCAGCAAACCGGTTCCTCTTCCACTGCAGAGGTTGGTATGTCTTCTCTGTTTGCTCCTCTTTAGTCCATGGGAACTTGTGATGGGCCATTTTTCTCTTCTTTGCAGATACTCCCAAGTAATCTCCGTGACTCTGCGTATAGAAAATACGAGAGACATCAGTCACTTATTGTTTCTTTTTTAATACGCTTCACAACTTGCTACATTAGTTAAGTAGTAGTTCAAAACTTCTTACGACTACTATAATGTTGGTTTTCAGTGTCGATCGAGGAGTTATTGAATAAAAGGATGAGTAGAATTTCTGTACCTTGAGACAGAGGCCCTCGGGGACATCACAAATGGGGTAATCACTCGGGCAGCAGTATTCAGTTCCAGTGCAGCAAACCGCATTCTGGTAGTCGCAGCAACCGTAGATGAAGCAGAAGCCATAAAATTCATAGAGGCAACAGCATGTTTGATCAGATGGACAATAGGAGAAGTCCCCACAATCACTTGGTGAAGGAGATGGTGGTGGTGGTGGCGGTGATGGTGGTGGAGGTGGTGGTGATGGTGGTGGCGGTGGTGACGGCGGCGTAGGAGGTGGTGGTGGAGAGGCTGGGGAAGGTGCAGATGACTCTTTGGTAGGATATGAAGCCATGGCGTTGATTGCACAAACCCCATATGGTAAACTAGTGTTCCTTCTAATGTAAATGTATCCGTCTACCCCCCAACTAGTCCCCCATGAATTCTTTACAATCCAGTAATCTTCATCACCTTCAGAACCATACCCCACTATAAGAACTGCATGGTCAATGTCGTTTGGATCAGAGGAGCACTCACCGTCGTAGATACCCTGAGTGGATGGTGAATCACATTACATTTTTATCTATTGTGTCTTGCTAACGTTTCAGACATCCAAGCAACAAGTAAAGCAAACACAAATTCAACTTACTCCGGTGTAAAGTTGGAAATCCCAAGCAGAACCGTCCATACCAACACTAACGGGCTGCTGAACAGCAGCACATAAAAGATCAGCGTCTGTTTCTCCCACATCTTCATATCCGTCAATGGAGACGGCTTTGGTTTCCTCCTGTGTAAGGCAGCACACAAATTAGAACAAATGAAGAGTGGATAAAATTTGTTCCAGACAGAAGCATTATAAGCTATAGTGAGGAACCAGACCTTGGTGATGCTGCATGTACCATCCACACCGCTGTATGGGTAATCAGTTTCCGTATCAATACCACCATTGCTAATAACCCATTCAAAAGCGTAGTCCATGTAGCCTCCCTCACATCCTTCGTTACTGCTGTCACAATCCACAAGCTCTTGTTCTGAAAGGCTAACTGAGGTCTCCAGTGACTATTGCGTTGACTCCTTCAATAGCTCCAGTGCTAGAGAATGCCCAACAACTTCCTGTGAACACAAAAACCAGAAGTATATAAGAGATCGATAAAACTTAGCATGAATGTCAATTTAGGCAGGGTGCGACGTTTACAATTTGGCAGCACCGCGGATGATATGTCATTTCATATGAACACTATAAACGTTCTTTTCCAAAGTTGAAGAAGAGAAAAAGATTATATATTATCATTTCCCCAAGAAACTTGTTTATTCAGTAAAACAGCAGAAGCCAGCTCTGCAAGACATTTGCAAACTTATATCCCACCTCCTAAGGAGTGAAAGTTATCTTATTATATTTTATTACCATGTATTACTACAACCAAACTCCTTTTTAACTATCTAAAGCGTCTTTAGTATTTTGACCATGTGACTTTTGATAGCATCATTGATAGTAGAAACTGTGAGAAACCAAAAAGTCAATGAATGATGACCACTAAAGATGGCCTTCTTTAGAAACATTGTTCATCAATTCAACTGGTTGAATCCAAGATCTCCCCTTTTAATCAATTATGTTATCATGAACTTTAAGTGCGAAGCCTCTTTAGAATTAAAGATGTATGTCAATAAGCTTATAGTTAGTAACTATGCATATACGTGCAATCAAAAGCCAGATAGAAGAACCAATGCTCATCTAGTGCATCTATCCTAAAATGATATCTGATCCCTTTTTCACAACTAATTTACGGGAAGGAGATTCGAACTTGAGTGTAAAGGATGACAGTATGACACTGCGCTGACCAACGCACCTAACCCAGATATCGCACTACTAGTCCAACCCACATCTGCAATATCTGACCTCTAAAAGTCCAAACTTTTACCACAAAATATTCAGAACTATTCATATAAACTTGTAAATAATCGAAATGCACTCAGTACCTAATGAAATAAATGAATTCGAAACATACCACAACTGCCTTGGTCCTTGACAGCAGTCACAACTCCCTTCTTCCTCCAATCGAAAGAAGAAGGAGCATCACATGACTTCACTGGTTTGCCCCCCATTTTCTTCACCAGGTTAAGATTCTCCCTTTTGAGAAGGGGCATTTGCACCTTCTTGGACAAGTAAGTCTTCCTGAACTCCTCATTACTCATGTCAGCAAACCCATTCAACCCAACCCTCTGACTACGATGGGCATTTTTTGCATCCCTCTTCCTTGCATTCTTCTCCAACACAAACTTGAGATTCTTCTTGAAATGCTCAAACCTCCTCTCATGCTCTCCAGCATGCCTATACACCTTCCTGTGCTTCTGCTTCCACAGCCTGAAAAGCTCCACAACTCTCTCCTCTGCAGGAAAGTGTTCCACTATTTCTTGCCCAACAATGGAGTATTCACTTGGGAGACTAGAAGAAAGGCACGCCAGTGATGCCCAGATGAAAAGAGCCAAACCCAATTGAATTTTGTGGGAACCCATGACTTCCTCAACTGGGTTTCCACTAAAGATGCTTGATTTTCATCCACATCCATGGAGACGTATATATGGTGAGAGCAGCTGAGCTGCTGAAGACGCAACCTACCAGTCAATTCACAAACACTGTTACTTCTGCTTTACTCCTAGGGATGACAAGAAATCGAATTATTGAGATATTTTCTTGATATTTTTTTAATTTGTTGAAGTACCAAATTTTGTTGGTGGTCTGGGAGTTGAAATATTTACCCGTCTACTGTTCAGCTCCCTTGACTTGAGAGTGGCTGACTGGAAGGAAGAGAGAGACCCACCATTCAACTGTCTGCAACACCCGACTGGAAGCTGAAGGTTGAAAATTTCTATCAACCAGATATTTGGGAAGGTGTAGTGTACCGTACCAAAATAGGAGGGTAATATCCATGCTGGACGTTGGAATAGCCTGGATGTGGTCCTGTGACCCCATATTGGAAAAGGACTCAAATATAGGTTGGAGTACAATGAGCGGAACATTTAGGCCCATACATAATAGATGGAGGGCTCAATCTCATTTTGTGATTTTTGAAGAAGGATCGTGCTCTCATAAGGTACCTTATTTTGAGGACATGTGAGGATCGAATGTTAAATATTCAAAGGCTTACAATATTGACAACTTAATGATGTAATCTTGCGATGACAACATAAGAAAAAGAGTTTTTTACTAGTTCTTGGATTTTAAGTTGGTTTTGTTTTATTAAGTTATCAAATATTTTCAGCCGTTTGATCTAAACTAATGCAAACTTATGGCTAATATGCATTTGGTCCTTAAAATAAAAAACTTGGGAGAGCAAGACTGTTTTGGAGAAAGTTTTGGGTTAGGTTGTCTCACAATGTTATCATGCGATCACTCTGACATAATGAATGTTATACTCATTTTTTAGTGTGATGAGAACACGGAGTGGTACACCACGTGTCATTATACAAATTGAGAGATATGTGTGTTAAAAAGTTAGTAACTTAAAAAATAAAGTTTTCCAATACTTGTATAAAAACATGTGGTGTATCACCCGTATTCTGGTCACAATGAAAAAATTTCTCATTCTTTTGAGACTATTTCTAAATAGTTTAAATTAGGTCTTCTTAAGTTTGAATGATGAGTAGAAATCTCAAACGCTACGTAAAAGTCCACTCATTCCCCAAAATATCGTCGCCCCACGATGAGTGCCTCTGCACACGTAAAGCGACAAGGCTCTAGAACTACAAATTTCCAACGCTGATGCAAAGCTAGTCATAACAAAATGCCCAAATGGCACTTACTCACCCTGAGAGCAAGGATATCGAAGGTCTTCTACCTAACGAAAAAATCATAAGAGGACTCAGACTCGAGATCCTTCAACTATCTCAACAAATTAACAAGTGATTTCTTAATCAAATTTCCTCTACTACGAAGCATCCTAGAATCCGAAACTAAGCAAATAAACCTCATATTTTCGATAAATTTATTTAATCTCACGGTCTAAAAAAGCAGAAAGATGAGGCAAGAAGCTAAAAAAAGGTACATGAAAATAGCTTTTAAAAAGCGACGAATAGCAGAGTAGTAGCGGTTCGATTGAGCAATCGAAGCTCTCTACTGTCAGTGTCATGACATCTGCTAGTCTTTAACTAACTTGCAAGCAACTGTTAGGTTGGCTTTGGGTAACGCCGTGTATGGCTTTGTGTAACGCCGTGTACGGAATTGCCTCATAATTTTAATCAACCATTATCTAGCTAGCTGGAGTCAAGTATATATCCAACGCATTAGTTTTAGTTATATCCATTTTTATGTTATTATTTCATTTTCATCCAACGTCAAGTGGCGAACAAATGGTGAAACGTTCAAGTTCTCTTTAATTAATTGTGGCTCGAGTTTAAATATTAAAAAAAGTCATCGTTCGCTTCAAGTATATATCTGTGTGTGTATAAAAAATAAAAAATACACTTAGAGAGGAGAGGAGTGCAATATCTGTTTTTATGATTTTTTGGCACATGAAAAGGTTATTCTTTTGTGACCAAAAAGTTACGGTTTCAAGTTGTGAAAGTTTTTTTACATTTGATTTTGGGTTCCAAAGCACTAGATATATGCTTCTTGTAGGAAACAGTTAAAGTGTTTTTCAAGAATTCACTTGAATTTCTATTAAGGATTGGTTTAAAAAATATTTTTACTAAAAGCGCTTTTAAGTTATTTTAAAATCACTTCTAAACGAGCTTTGGTAGACAGTGCTTTTCATTTTGACCTGCTTCCTTTCGAATTCAAAGTCTTATTCTTCTCTAAATCTAAGTTGGATTTAGTATTAAAAAAGATGGAATACTTAGCACATAGGAGCTGGAAAGTCGGACATTAATTATTGATTAGTTTATTACAACATAAAGAAAAATAAAGAAAAACACAGCTAATTAAGCTAATTAACTAGTTAATGATCAGCACGTAGCAGCCATCTTTTCTGAAACTTTAGCTAATGACTTGAGATTACAGCCTATAATCGTATTAGCAAACAAACAAGTATCCTCCTTGCTACTTCCGGCGGGAATATCCACCACGTACGACTGAATCACAACCGTCTTATTCTTCTTTCCATTTTCTTCTTCCACTTTATGCACCGTAGTGGTAGAACTGTAATTTGCAAGCCTGTGATCCCCACCGATAACGCTATAATGCATGACGTGCATGTTGTCGTCGAGCTCGTCCAGCCTCTCCGTGCTGGTTTTCGCCGGCAACCCAGACGTAATCACGACTTCCCGAATGCTCCCTATGCCTCCGTTCCCCGCCCGCATGCTGCAACTCTTAACGAACAGCTTGTAAGCCTTCGGATTGTCGAACTGGCGGATGAAGGACCATACTAGGTTTAGCGGTGCGTCGACGGTTTGGACGAGTACCGAGCCGCATTGGTTCGGCAAAAGATCGTGGATATGGTAGGTGTCGATCATACCATGACTTTCGCTTAGAGGGCTTGTATTTTGGGACGTTGGGTAGTACGACATTTCTTGGTTATTTATCTTGTTTTTATCAAGTGTTGGGAGTTTGGGGACTGTTGTTTAGGGTTACCCTTTATATACAGGGGTGGTGGAATTTTTCGCTAGGGTTGTACTTAAAAATACCAAAAAAGGAATGGATTAAAAATATACCAAAAATGGTATGCATCTTGATTAGGCCTTGGGAACGGTTGCCGTTGGAGGGCAGTGATTTGGTCATGTGCTCTTTCAGATGATGGTCTCTTGCTTGTATTGTTGGAGTGTCCTTATGTGAATGGTTTACTCCAAAATATATTCTTTTAACGTTTTTGTGTACATGTGGATGTGGACCATATCTTGACATGCCAGCAAAAATGTCATTTGTGTCCACGTGGACCATATCAGCACGTTACAGCTATCTGCATATTTCCCCCATACTATTGATGTTATCGATGCTTGAACAAACCCATGTGCTGGATAATGAAAAGCAAATGATTGCTGATCAGATCGCGAACATAACACGTGGTGACCTGGGCTGACCTAAAATTTTTGTGCAAAGAGTCCCCGGGATTTTGTTTATAGGCATCGTTCTAGCTATTGAGAGTATCGTATATGTGAGTAACAAAAGTTTGTTATGTATATATATGGTTTTGAACTATTTTTCATATTGTCAATTGTTTTTATGATGGAACTCTAATTTCATCATGTTATCAAAGCGAGTTGTTCCACGTGTGAAAGCCCAAGGGCCACACGTGCTCACGTGTTACCCAATTGTTGTCCACGTGTTAGCTTGAAAATCGGTCACACGTGCGGGGACATGTTGAGAGTTGTTGCACATCGATGAGAGGCAAGGTTTGCTATGTGCTTATATGATCTTAGGTTGCTCCCTATATTGTCAATTGACTTTATGATAGAACTCTAATTTCATCACCAGCTTCACGAGATGTGTAACAATTTTCATTATAAGAAAGACAAAGGAGATTCTCCTAAAGTGGATAAACTGTTTCCCACCTCACAATTTAACGTTAATTCTCGTGTCATCATTATAAAGCACTAGCATATGGGCACACATAAAATGTGTGAGATATTATTATTTTTATTTTTATTTTTTGAAATAGAAGAAGAGAGGAAGAGAGTAATAGAGAATGTGGGAGTATGAAGTTATTTTTTAATTTTTTTAATTAGAGATATGTTAGGATTACATATAGGTGAGGGTTAAAAAAAAAAAAAAAAAAAAAAAAAAAAAAAGCAAAATTTGGTTGTGTGCAATTACATTTTTGCCCCATATTTCTTATTCATGTTCTGTTTTAATTAGAGGGTTAAACTGATAATTTCATATGATTTTGGTCAACAATGATTGTTTTATTAATTAGTAGAGATTACGCCAAAACACGAAGTGACAGAGAGGCCATGAAGAATCCCGCTTTTGAAAATCTCCTTCGCATTCCTCTTTTATTATTATTTATTCTTAATTTGTTTTCTATTAATTTTCATTTGGGGAAAATCAAATGCTCTTGGTGACAATGTTTTTGCAGTCCAGTTTGACCCGATCTGGGCCTGAACCAACAAGCAGGCATGTTAACAAACAATAGCCCAACTTCTGAGCCCAAATCAAACAGTATTGGACCAGATGGGAAAACAGCCTACTCAAAACAAAAGGCTGGTTCAAGCAAAAAGACACAATAATAGGACGCGGCGCAATGGAAGTTAATCGACTCTCTCAAAAGTAAGACTCTTCGTAGACTCTTTGCTACCTCATAGTTTAACGTCAATTTCTGTGCCTAACATTATAAAACATTGTGCCAAAAACATGAGACGGTAAAAAATCCATGGAGAGTCCCACTTTTTAGACAAGCATACCCACATGTTGTCTCGTTTTGTGTCTAGGACTGAAGAAAGAAACGAAAAAATTGTGCCCAACTTTTATCCATTCCAATCCCCAAAACTGTAACGATAACAAGGGATATATTCCCTTCATTTCTAATCCCCTTCTAAATCCTTTTGAATGAAAATCTTTCACCTCTACCTTCAATTACTCGAACTTTATGAGTTATCCAATCCATTCCAATTCTAAACAACAAACGAGTTTGAGTTTAAGGGGAAAAACCCCCTTCAATACATAACTACAAGTCTAAAACCTTTACCCTCTTCAATACATAACTAGCTAGTTTCCACTGAGGAGGCCCTTAAAGGCTTACGAATCCTTCACATGCCTCAACATTTCTAGTGAGTAACGAACATCTTCAACTTCAAGCAACAAACAAACCCTAAGCAGATAGTGTCAACTATGTACATTCATACCAAATCGGAAACATCAAATCATGAAAAAGCACGGAGGCCGATTATCATCGACAGGCAGATGGAAAAATAAGGAATTGGTATAATCGGACAGCAAAGTTAAATCTAACCTGCAATCCGCCGCGAATACCAATGGCAATGTCTATCAATTGCATCTTGCACAACAAAACCACATAATTATATCACGAACACTAAAGCACAACAGGCGATTATCCGAGAATAGCAATAACCGCAATCAAGAATGCAATGCAGCTAAGGATGGATGGGTCTGCAATGTATCAAGCTAACATAAAGCTTCTCGTTTATTAAATCTTGTATACAAGTTCAAGTGATGATTCAGTAACAGAATTGCAGCGACCACAAAATTCACAATTTCGAAAACTATCAAAGCTAAAATCGAAAATCAGAAATCGAAAACTACCCTGTTACGGCGCTCTGGGATCGGTCCCGTGCTGCCAAACATACACAAGCTCATCCCAACCAGTACTGGCCAGAAGCCCCTCCACCAACACGCTCATATCCACACCCACCGCGAACTCCGTGTGGTGGTCGTACCGTGCCACCAGTGCATCCTCCACCATGTAATCCCACAAGCAAACCGACATGTCGTACGAGCATGACATGATCAAGCTTTGCCTGTGCGGCGAGAATTTCACCTTCCTCACCGCGTAGCCGTGGCCGTTGAGCACCGAGATCGGAACCGTCATGCTCCTCACGTCCCAGACTTTAATCGACTTGTCGACGGAGGCGGTGGCGATGCAGCAGTCGTCGTACTTGTTCCAATCGCACGCCAGGATCTCGAGCTCGTGCGCGGGGATGATCATGGTGGACCCGGGCTCGCGCACGTCCCAAACGCGCAGAGTGCAGTCGCCCGAGGCGGAGGCGAATACATCGGCATGGCGGGGGTTCCAGACGGCGGAGTAGACGCAGTAGGCGTGTTCCTTGAAAGTTCGAACAGATGCGGGGCGGTCAACGGTCCATAGCTTGACGGTGTCGTCCCATGAGGAGGTGAGAAAGGAGTCGCGGCGGGTGGGGTTGTAATCAGCGGAGCTGACCTCGCGGGTGTGCTCGTGGAGGGAGCGGAGGGGGTTGGAGGCCGGGGGCAGAGCGGTGTCGTAGATCTTAACGGAGCCATCGGCGATGGCGGCTACTAGAAGGGAGTCGTGGGACTCGGACCATGCGACGTCGTATACGCCGTCGGCGGTGTCGTAGGAGACGAGCTCGGTGATTGGTTGGCGGGGTGCGCCGGGGCCCACAGGGGCGGGGAGATGTCGATGACGTGGAGGCGGCCGTTGCCGAGGATGCCGAAGTTTTGGGAGGTGGCGACGGCGAGTCGGGACTCGTAGAAGGGGCTGAACTTGACGGAGTAACCGTTGAACGGAGCTTTGAAAACTGGCATTGTTTAGTCCAATCCAGTGAGATGCTCTCTCCGCCGTTGGCTTTGGATTTTGGGGGGTTTCAGAGGCTGACGAGCGCTTCGGATTATTTGGCGGTCAATTTTATTTTTAATCATCCTTTTATCTTGTCATCTTCTTGGAAGATGGAAAGTTGGTCAAAAATAAAAAATCGGGAAATTTAACGAAAAGTTTCTAGTACTGTTTATTTTAACGAAAAATTACATTTTTATATTAAAAAGTCAATTTTGATACTGTTTACTTTACTCTTTATTTTGTCATTATCGTTAAAATTCAAATTATTTTTATTAGGTTTTTTTTTTAAATTACGCAAATACTCTGGCCCACTTCTATTGTGGTCTCTTGGCCCACTTAGCCCACTGGGCCCAATTTGTTTCTTCCAACTCTCATGAACCAAAAACAGAACTTGCCACCATTAAATTACCTCCTCGTTTCTTGTATATTTATTGGAGATGATCAGGGCATGTAAATTGGCCCAGGCCCTAAATCTTTCAAGCCTAAGCCCACGAAGTTAATTTTTGTCGGCCTAATGATGGAAGCTCGCCATGGATGTGCTTAAGCTTTACCCTACCCTACCATATTGATCTTGAGTGTATGAATGGTTGTTAACTGTAGATGCATATGAATGAATGTTGTAACACATGTTTTGTACATGCATTACCTAGAATTTTATGAGTAACTATGTAGAGAGAAAGTTTAACCAAGTTTCGGAAATTAGCTTAAATAGTGAGAGTGAGCAAATACATGGGTACAATTTAAGTTTTGAGATAAAAAAAAAAGAATTCATTAAGAGTGGTACGATAATTTATATAAGATAAACATGTCCATCGTGGTCCTTAGAGCGAATCAAGAAGCCACACAAGTCAAACGAAACATCAGAACTCCACAATTACAAACTCATAAAAAGAACAATACAATTTACCAATCACAGAGGATCCGAAATTCAACCAATAAGAAAATAACACCCAATTACTAAACCTTAAAAGTCGGAGAATTACCGTAAAACATCACGATGAATTTATCGCACCAACCTCTGATGATCATGCAATTGCCGATAAAAAAAGTCAAAAAAATTTATTTGAACTCATGTAACATCTTTCTACACCTAACTTACTATCACATCCCCGCCCGGGCCCTCACCACATCCTGAGCTTGACTCCACCGTAGCATGATATTGTTTACTTTGGGCCCCGACCACGCCCACGTTCTCACGGTTTTGTTTCTGGGAACTCACACGAACAGAACTTCCCAGTGGGTCACCCATCCTGAGAATGCTCTAACCCCTTTCTCGCTTAACTTCGAGGTTCCGTAGACTTCGGAGTTCCTACAGAACCCAAAGCCAATGAGCTCCCAAAATGCCTCGTGCTAGGTAGAGATGAGAGCCAATTTGCTCCCAAAAGGCCTTGTGCTAGGTAGAGATGAGAATATACATATAAGGTTTACATGATCCACTCCCCTAGGCGATATGGGATGTAACAATCCACCTCCCTTAAGGGCCCGACGTCCTTGTCGGTACATATCCGGCTAGGGATTGGCTCTGATACTAAATTCTCACATCTCGGCCCGGGCCCACACCACATCCCGGACTCGACTCCATCGTAACACAATATTGTCCGCTTTGGGTCCCGACCACGTCCTTACGGTTTTGCTTCTGGGAACTCACACGAGCAAAACTTCCCAGTGGGTCACCTATCTTGGGAATGCTCTGGCCCCTTTCTTGCTTAACTTCAGAGTTCCTAAGGAACCTGAAGCCAGTGAGCTCTCGAAAGACCTTGTGCTAGGTAAAAATAAGAATATACATATAAGGCTTACATGATCCACTCCTCTGGGCGATCTGGGATGTAACACTTACTCTCTACACCCATATTATTTTTTATTAAAGAATTAATATCTCAACCCAAATTTATTATCTAAACTACCCTCTTAAACCTAATTCAAAATGTAAAGTTATCTTTACAACTATTTATAAAATAAAATCTCTAATTTAATAGTTTGTTTTCAAAGAGACTAGAAAATAAAAAACATTACGCGTCCTTTGCCGCCTCCCTCTCTTCCTTCTCTAGCATTTCCTAGGGCTGCTGTTTTTTCTACTACAAAACCAATATATTTGCTCTCCCTCAACCAAACCAGTTACTTGGTTTGCTATCAACACTGCCACAATAAATAACCCCCATCACTTTTTCTTATCAAACCAACTTTCCTCCATGCAAATTTTTATTCTTTCGAAAAAGAACAACTCTACTTTTAATGTAAGTTGTCATTGTTTGTCTGATCAATTGTTTTCTCAAAAAATTGAAGACTCCTAGTTTTGGAACTAATTATATGGGATTAAGCAATTCATCTTTTCCTTACTTTCTGATCAATTTGTTTCTACAGTTTGTTGGATTATAACCAACGAGTAAATATCGTTTAAATGGCTGAAGAAGTTAATGTAAATTCTGATGAGAAGCTGCAAAACCAAATGCTTATAGATGCAAGTATAAGAAGAGCCATAAGACCAACCAAACCAGCATGACAACTAATTGACAAACAAGCACGACAAAAAATTGACAAACAAGCATGGCAACAAATCAAGTCATACCTTAGTTGGAGAAATCAAAACCTCAAAATCACCATCCATCAATAAAAAAAACTTGTTTTTCTTTATAAGAGCTATTAGGATTTTAGCCTAAATGAACGTAGGATAAATAAGGAGTAATGTAGGGTTTAATTATAGTGGGTGGGTTTATTGATAAATTTTAGTTTTATTTTTAATTCATCTTGTATTTGATGGTAATTATGCAATAGGGTAAAAATGACAATTAACGTTTAAAATTTAAATTAGGTGTAGAAAGAGATTACATAAGTTTAAATAAAATTTCTCAAAAAACCTTGTTACGAACCACCTCCAATAACCATTGAGTTTCTTTCTCATAGTTATTTACCAAGTGCACAAACCGCTACAAAAGCCCTCTCCAACAAAATAGAAGGTTGCTTGACCTTGACACAAAGAATGAATTCTCCAACAGCTTGATTTTTGTCAGTGGGGCATCAAACAGGTTCCCGTAATTTTAGAATGGGGTTGAATTTTCGGATGGCCGGATTTGGATTCTTCCCGAACGACTGAATAATAATGTTTGGATTTGTTTGGCCTCCATTATAATATAGGGAATACTAGAGAAATTAAATGTTTAGATTAAATTTTGTAAATAAAATGATATAAAAGTTGATAATTGAATTATTACTTAAATGTTGATTAACGTTCTTATTTCTTATTTGTGACGCATCATTTAGTTTAAAATTTTAGTTTACACATTTAGTCTTCCTAGCATTACCCTTGTAATATATCCGCATATATAACCTTACTGCAATTTATAAACATTGGAAAAAATGGTAAACGAAGATTTATGAAGACTTTGAAAAAGGCTATAAGAAAGATACATAGTACTTGAAGTTAGCGGAAGACAAAGCGCATTAACGTTTTAGGATTCATACAATCACTCATACCTAATGAGATAAATCTTGATTATTGTTGTTGTTGTTCCAAAATTTTGAGGGAACAAGATTATTTATTAATTTCATTTTGCAAATTTCCGACAGACTTTGTGGGCTGCAGATTTGAAATTTACCTAATCCACTATTTGAATACCTTCACGTGCAAAAGAAATGGAGCTTATTATATTCGCTTCTCCCTTAATACAGTGGATATGTAATTTTTGGGTTCTCAACCCTAATTTACAAATATTCAAGAAACATAGACACTAAAGTGTACGATTTAAATTGATCATGTAATATTGTGTAAAACATTGAAATATGTAACGTCATGTTATTACTCTGAAATAGAAGATGGTGTCCCAAAATAAAACTTTAAGTTAAGACTGCGTACAATAAACGTTCTCATGTCAACTCTCTTAAAGTAAAAAAGTTGGCTTGAGGTCGCTTTTTAGTTTCCAAATACAAAAATTAAAACCTCCTGCATATGGCCCCTCCTATCCAAACCACACCACAGGCTCACATGTTGCCCACTTTAATGGGCGGGACATGTTGTGGATGGGACATAATTAACTGGCACTAATCAAGCATTTTCGACAGTTTAACTATAGCTTACATTATTTTCTCATGTCAAATCTATAGGTCGGTTCCAAGGAGACGTTATAATTCCAATTGGTCAATCCATGATAATATTGTACATATCAAATCAATCTTGGAAATTCTGATAGTGTCATGATCTTATCTTTGGACTTTTCGATTTACTTCGGTGGCATCTCTAAAGTCGGGTTAACTAAGACAAGAGAGAGAGCATCTCTCTCATCACATCTACCTAATTTAGAATCAAAACTTAAACTCAATTTGTAGTGATTTCTAATCATAAACTTAATTGTTAGCGTTTGCTCTAAAAAGTTAATATAAAAGTATTGATCATACTTTCCACGTTAACATATCTGAGACTATATTAGAAACCACTTTTATCAACCAGAAGTTTGTGATCAATTTGGTACAATAATATGAACAACACGAACGATTGTTAACTGTTGATTGATGTGAGATTCACTGATAGTAGATCTACCATGTCAAGATGATGCAAGCAAAATCTTTTTACAAAATAGGCAAATACATTCACACTTGAGCCAAACCACTTTGCAAGCCTAAAACCACAAAGAGATACAGTTAAAAAGAAGTGATGTATCACACCTCACTTTCCAATGAAAACCACAACCGACATGATGTTGCTTGGGATATTGAAACTTTGAAAGATCACAAATCCCCTCTCTCAAAAGAAGATTTTCCCTATGCCCCATTTCCCACCCCCTCCATTCCCAATTCACTCCCAACAAAGCCGATCGGTTTCACTCCCTCTTCATCAACCCCACACATACATACAAGTAGCCTCCACACACTAAATTAGAAAATAGCAAAGTAGGTATTCAATCTTGTTGTCACACGTGTCAGTCCTGAACTGAAACACTTGAGCTAGGGCACCCCTTTGTTGGCAATCCCAATACGAACATGTGCCGTCCATAAGGACCCTCAACCCTTTAAACCCAACCCCAAATTATTGTACTTGGTGAACGAGAAGGAAAGAGAGGGATGGGGGGCCTAAATGATGGATACCAAAAGGGCAAAGTACAGAGTGAGGTGCAATTATTCCTGCCATGGATTTCATCCTAAGCAAGTCATAGGCAAAAAATTCCCTCATCATCTAGCTACCTCATCCCACAGAGCAAAAGGTTTAAAGAAAATGAGAAAAGAAACAAAAAAAATGAAATTATTTGGATACACAAATTTGACACATTTATAATATAGATATGTAGACTTTGCTTAATTATATTAGAAAATGTGACAGTACACATATTAATTTTGTGTGTCTAAATAAATCATCCGAAAGAAAAAGCTAGTACTATATAATAATACCTCATTCGATACAATCTTTTAGGGTGACAGATATTCCCACTCTCATATAGCTAGAGCTATCTACCCAGGCAAAAAGGGTTTTTAATTAAAGAGACTTCTGTATTCTCTCTTTCTTATTCTCTTTCCTTCACTACTTCTTTCTCCTCCTCCCTCTCTCTCTCTCTCTCTCTCTATGAGAGAGACTTTTGGAGGGAGAGACAAAAGATCATAGCTAGCTAGAAAGCAGAAGCAGCAGCTAGCCATGAAAAACACCATTAGGTGCTGCATCTCTTGCATTCTACCATGTGGAGCTTTGGACGTGATTCGAGTCGTACACTCTAACGGCAGAGTCGAGGAAATCAGCGGCACAATCCGAGCCAGCGAGATCATGAAGGCGTACCCTAAGCACGTCCTCAAGAAGCCCTCCTCGTCGGCGTCCGATCACGACGGGGTCGTCCCCAAGATCGTGATCGTTCCTCCAGACGCGGAACTCCAACGCGGCAAGATTTACTTCCTCATGCCTATGCCCGCTTCTTCGAACACGTCTGAAAAGGCGGGGAGGACAAGATCGTCGTCGGCAAAGAAGAAGCGGATTAAAGACGCCGAAAACAACAACATCACAAACAACAGCGTCGCCATGACCAACCTGTTGATAAATGATCGGTACTTGAGCGAAATACTGTTGGAAAAGCATTCGTCGCAGCGGGATCGGCGGCGAGGACGTGTTGGGGTTTGGAGGCCGCACTTAGAGAGCATTTGTGAGTCACCAAGTGATGTGTAATATTGGCGGATTTTCATTTTTTCGATCTTCTTCTTCTTCTCAGTTTTATCATTTGTCTTAAAGGTTCATATATTTTAGTAGGGTTTGTGCCCATTCTTTCTTTTTGCTACCTCTTTTAATTTCCTTTATTTTCTGCCTTTTTCTTTGTTTTGTGTTTCTTGTTTTGTATATATATGAAAAAATAGGGAAAGAAGAAATAATATACAAACAAGTTCTATGAGAGGGTCGATCTCTGTTATTGTGGTGGGTTCTCACCCGACTAGATAATATATATTTGAAGGCCATCGGCTCATGGCAATTAATTACTCCGTTGATATCTGTGTGTGGTTCTTGTTCAATTATTTCATGCAGTGGATATGATTTAATCTTGTAATTTTGGAGAGGGGTGAAGATCAAGAAACTAAATTGTTATGGGTTTTGATTAATTATTTTGCTTCTTTTGTTTGGAAGGAGGAGTTTATCTGGGGAAAGAGACTACTATTTTGAGAGAAACCAGTCCTACTGCTACTATGCCATTGGAAAATATGATTTGCTTTATTTCTTGATTTTCGTCGAGAAAAATGAAAGAATAATTCTACACTTTCTAATTACACAAATAATTTTTCATGCGTATTTCATATATATGGATATTATTTATCGAAATTTAGTATGATAATAATTTCTCATACGCTTTTGACGGGGAAGACATCATCCACACTCATTTTGGGTTTTTTTTTTCCCCAAAAAATATATAAAATTATCATATACATTGTTTGATATGATGATGAGATGATCAAAGACACATTGAGGTGGATGGAAATGATAGTCCCCACATACTTTTTTTTCCACCACATATAGGATAATGCAAATGTAGCTTTGCACACTAGCTAACAAGTGGGTATATGGCATGTCTTTAAGCATGTTGTTCTCTTTGAGAATGATTAATTAGATATAGAGATGCTGCCAATAGCATCCTGTAAAGGTAATCACAGTAGGGTTTGACCCTTTTTTCTTCACATTGGCCGGTGGCAGAGACGGATGGTTTAGCCTTTGATGAGCAACCCCATGTTCCGATCGATCCCCATATATGAATTCTTCCTGTCCCTGGCAGTCCCACCATCAGGGGCCAACCAAAAAAAGGCGTCACAGAGTTCAGATATGTGATTGAAATCCTTTTGGTACATGTCAGATTCATATATATATATATATATATATGAGTGTGTGTGTGTGTATTTATATAAGCAATGGTTATGGAATACACTAAAGTCATTACCTTTAGTGTTTCCATCCAACTATCTCTTTAGTCATAATATAAAGAGATATCCAGTAATGGATTTGATTTTAGATTCATAATCTAAATTAGTTTTACGCTTCCATTCGGTACTCTGAATTTCCTCATTCTTAAGGAATCCATCCTTTAGTATTTCCCAAACACTTAAGGACTTACTTGACATTTGTCATAATTCTGATGACTTGCACTGATATCTTTTGCACTTTTTCTTAGTAAAACTCTTCTTAGTGTTTTTCATACAATATGAAATACATAAAATCACCTTTTGCGAATTCATAAAGGATTCCATTCACGCGTTATTTCTCTTTGGGAGTCTTAGGAGAGCAACTTCCGAGTCTCTCTATCTATTAATAGAGATTGAGATAATCCAATTAACTTTTGAAATCCATCATAATAGATTCCATTCCCCAGTATATAGAATATGTCTCCCAATATATATATCCTAACATTATAGAATAATTTTATTGAAGCAATCTATTTTCATTTCTAAAATTAATATATCTCATGTATATACAAATTTAGGGATAAGACTAACTCCCACTAATCTTTTGTAAAACTAGTAAACAAAAGATTCATTTACATCTTTATGAGAAATCAAACAATTTGACCTTTTCTCATGAGATGCTAATAGCTCCCACTATTTTGCTTAGATTCATGGTGGATGGATCTCTATAACTTATACACATTGTGATTCCAAGTTTTAGATATAAATCATTAGGACTATCCTTATAATGGTTTTGAAAAACTTACATTATCTCCATACTTTGAATCATTATGTAGTTGTGGCAAGCAATCTCCGAATGAATTGAAACCAAGACTACGTCAAAGAAGGTTTCTTCCAAGTCGACCTATCTCTTAGCTACCAATTAACTTTGTAGGTTTCTTTATTCGAGTTAAATGGTAACATACCATTTATTTGAGTTGATGTCATACATAGGCTCAATGTAGTCTCGAGGATCTTCTCTTTAATTCATTTGAATTAAGGAGGTGTAACTCTAAGACTTAGTCATAAAGTTCAAACCATTCTTCTTAAACGATTTGTTGATCCTTTAGATCTACTTGGAGCTCGTAATGTAGGAACTTGGTTGTTAAGCTTGTTGAGTATCATCTTGTACCTCAAAGAACATGTTCCTTAAGTTCTATCTCTTGTTCATTTGCTCTATCTAAGACAAATCTTATTTAAGATTATAATGAACAACCCAACAAACAACCTTTGTTAATTGGTTTATAGAAGTGATATCCAAAGGTTTATTTAAGGATATCCCACAAGTGTACTTCTAACATACATTACTTTAGCACATATGCAAGTCTATTGACATATGTTTAACAACCCCAAATCTTAACTTGATTAAGACTTGACTTTCTTTCCAACTACATCTCATGAAGTTTGAAATAATTTTGAAAAAACTCTAATTAACAATTATATTGCCTTGGAAGAAATCAACAGGCTCCGACTCGGCAATCTTGCCTCCTTCAAGAGGAGTTCCATGCTTGTACGCAGTAGTCCTCACAACTTCGTCTTCATCAAGCCTCGCCTGTGAAGTCGCATACTTTATATCGTCCCAACTCTTTGCCATTGTCTCTCTGTCCTCTCTCTCTCTCTCGCTCTCTCTCTCTCTCTCTCTCTCTCTCTCTCTCTCTCTCTCTCTCTCGGGTTTAGACTGAACCGCATGAGACATGAGTCGGTTCTGATGATCTGCTTCCATTTATATATAAGCTGTATTTTGTATCATTACGTGGCAGATTGGTTTAAGATGAGAGCTCGCTCTAGCTATGTTTCGGTTAAAGATTATTATGACACGAGATATTGTGTTCTGTACAAAATGAATAACTTCTTCTCTACATGCATGACATTGATGGAAGTTGTCCTTGTTTGCTCTTTTCATTTCACACAGTGGTTTGACGCTTAACATGTTTACTTTTGAAATATGAAAATATGAGTTATTTTGATTCTTTATAAGTGTTGTAATTTGAGTGGACACTTGTTTTGTTACTTTTTTTTATTTTTAGGAAATATGGCTAATAATCCGAGTGTAGTAAAGAGAGGATTTGAACTCTAAATGCAGTAAAAGTATTTTAAGTTGAAGAGTCAAAGACCAAATCTTTGTCATTAATTACTATCTAATCAGTAACAACATAATTACATAGACTTAGCTATGTGTTGTGCTCTTTCATTTGTAAGCTTCTGGTGTAATTTTAGGTCGCTTAAGACAGACGATTGTTCTTACGTACGTGTAAACATAAAGCGTCAACATTTTTAAACCGTTGGATCAAATCTAACTGTCACTCGTCATCAATTTTAAACATCCGACGATCAATTGTGCGATGAGGGAGACATTAAACTTGATGATCTTGGTCATGATTTGTTTTCACCCTTTTCAGTAAATATCAAAAAACGTAAAAGAGTCATTCACAATGCTCAAAAGGAACATCATTCCATATAATAAAAGATACAAACCTACAAAATATCCTCATCAAACTCAGAATGCTCCTTATCTTTCTTCTTGAAAGCAAAGCTTAATTCAAATCGACAAGCACGCTAACCCCCGTCTAATCGATTCTCAGGAATCATTTGCTCATTATCAGCATCGCCTTCTGTCTCAACTTGAGGCTTTGAAGGAGCTTTGGAACCAGGAGGCTGTTTCTTCTTAATCCTGCTCTCAATGTCATTGATTCTGACCAGTAGGCAAGTGTGGATCCTACGACCGTTTTAAAGGTCTGAGCCTTCACGTTGTATGCATCCTAGATCTGACATGATAAATATAAGCAACTAACAGCCTCACCCACACAAGAAATTTGATATACAAGACTTCATGGATATATGCTCATATCGTAGCCAGTCACATTTATTTCAGTAATAAGCAGGATTACAGCAGTTCCGCTCGCATGGGTGCTGTCAAATATATACCAATCGCCCAATGAACTTGAACATTTGTCAAAGTGAAAGGAGAAAAAAACAGAGCAACATAACACTGGAACTAAAGAAAAATCTGAGGCCGCACCATGAAACCCATGAACCTGATTGAGCACAAGGAATAGTGCCCTGAGTTCCAATCTGCATGCCATCAAATTCTCACAAAAGTTAGATTAAATGAGAGCTTGAGAAGCAATACAAAAATAATAGGTACATAATTTGATGAATTGTTGAAAGAAACCAAAGCAACCTACGATGCTTCACATCAATGTCCATTGCTATGTTGTCAAGATTAGCAATAGCATCCTCCAGAGCTTTGTTGTAGGCTACAACCAGAAAACAGAAAGTTTAAAAACATTGAAGCAAAATCATTCGGAAAAGAATAAAGCGTAAACCAAAATCAAATCCGAAACTGTACATGAAAGAAAAATCACAAGGAAAAATGTTATCTTAATTTCTTCCAACTCACCTCGGCAAATAACAGTAGGATGATAGCGCTTGTCAATAAATGCTTCTGCAATATTGAGCATCTCACCAGCTACACCAAATTTCATTCCAAATGTAAGACACATAGCAAACTTCATGTACACACATAATGATGTCGTAACCTGTCCAGTAAATAGAAAAATACATAACCTTCCTCAAGCTTACTAAATTCCATGATACATATTATGTGCAAGTTAATCCCATCATTTCTGTATAATCTACTTATAAGCCAACATTTTTTGTGTTGATTAGTCCTCAATTTAGGCTCTAAATTTTAACAATTAGCCCTTTAAAGGCTAAGGAAAACAAGAACCGTAAAGGGTTTTCTCTAAAACTTCAAGAAGTTAGAGGGTTTTTAATAGGGAAAAGGCTAGCAACCTTTACATTTGAACCTTTTCATTTCTTCACATGACACGTGTCATTTTTTACACAAAAAGCAAGATTAAATAGATAATAGTAGTTTCTGATGTCGTTAATTGTTTTAGGGATACCATTACCACCTAGGCTTAGACCTAAGCCAGGCCCCTAAAAGTGGTTGGATTAACAACCGGTTCACAACAGGGAAAATAAGAGTTTAACTAAGAACTTTGATCTAATTAAAGTAGGAAAACTGAGAGTCGAACCTATAACTCTGTTGCACCACCACCAGAAGCAAGTTTTTGGATTTTTGAGCATGTTTCTTGCCACTGACAATTCACGATTTTAAAGTTGTAGAGGTAAGGTGTGCTCTAGTAGAGCCTCCCTTTACCGCTTGCAGAGCAAGGAATTAGGTATAGCGTTGATATAGACATTCCTATTCAAAATGATATTTTATCTGTACATCTACTCCAGCTTTTGCATGAATGGATTATTGTTGAATTTGAAGAAAACGTGGGAGTAACAATCAGAGACAAGATGCTTCTTCCATGCGGAGGCTCTCAATATTGGCCCATCATGATCCACCCCTAACAATCTAGGTCGGACAATCAAGTTATATGGACCGGGGTAGAACTTGATTGTCCGGATCTGGACTGTTGGGGGTGAACGTGGGCCAATATTGGGAGCCTCCGTGGTGAAGAAGCATCATCTGCTTGTCTCCTACGTTTTATCCAAATTCACCAATAATCCAGTAGATGTACAAATAAAATATCATTTTGAATAGGAATGTCTATATCTACGCTACACCAAATTCTTTGCTCTGACGGTAAAAGAAATGGCGTAAGGTCTGATAGAGCAACCCTACGTCTACAACTTGAAAATGATCCTTCTTGTTTCGGGATTGCAGGTTGGACACCACATTTGGGATTTGGTCCTAACAAAACACAATTTCATATAAATTATATAGATTTAGGAGAGTGTATTCAATTGAGATTTTGAGGAATTTTAATTCTTTTAATGAATCTAGGGTTATTCAATCAGGATTTGGTGTATTCAATTAGAAATTGATTTTAAAGAATTTGATAAAGTTGAGGAATTAGAGGGAATTGAAGATATTTCGTAGTATATTTTAAGCATCCACAAATCTCAACTTTTCCCATGAGATTTCGAGGGAATTGAATCAAAATTTTATGTGGAATCTCTACAAATCAATTAAACTCTATAAAAATCTATTAAAGTCTCTCAAATTCTCAATTGAATACACTCCCTTAAAGTAATGCTAAATGATCTGCATTTCTTATAATTCTAATCTAGATGACAAGGAACGAATCACTAAGGGAACCCTGATTTCACTTCAGGAACAATAGAGCAATAATTAAAGGCAACCACAGTGCTCGAATTTCCGGACACAAACAAGCAATCGTCGATCATTACACAGAAAAACTACAATGCAAAAGTTTGGTCCTTTCAATTCACACCCTTGCTTACGATAAATCAGATTGCCTATTGACCAAAACGTCGCGCATATGTGGCATCTAGGTCAGCAAACATGTGGAGCCTACCTTTGCAACGTCATCACCAATTTAACAGATTTGACTAACACATGTATGATAATATTGTAACTAAACATAATTTTATGTATGAGATTGAAATATTTTAAAGATGTTGTATGAGGTTGCAATTGCAATCAAACTTAAGGATGCAAACTGTAATTTATCAATTTTAAAAAATTGAGGAATTAGAGAGAACTAAATCAAAATTTTACATAAAATTTATACAAAACAATTCAACTCGATCAAAACTATAAATTTATTAAAATTTCTAAAATTTCCGATGAATACACCTGCATGAAAATATTTTTCCATTTGCTGGCTTCAGGGTGGATGAACTCATAATTTTCAGTGAGGAAGGAATACAGAGAAATTGAATATTACATTAATACATTTTTTTTTCTCTAGTTTTTTGGTGCTTTTGACGAAGGATAAGGATTCCATCCGGATTTAAATGGTGGGGATCTTAGGTTTCTAACCGTTCATTGTATATCGTGCGGTCAGTTTTCATCAGATACTATCTGTGTTTAATTTTAAATAAAAAATTCAAATAATTTCTGACTGCATGATGTACGATGAATGGTTAGGATGTGAGGATCTCCACCATTTGGAACCGGATGGGATCCAAATCCTTTCACGAACCACTAAAATATTATTGGATGCACTCTCTCTCGTTCGTAGTCTCACGGTTTATATTCTTTGAAACCCTAGCCACAATTTGCTTCTTCCCTTGAAAACATAGCCAGATCTCTTCGTCATCATAGAGAGACCGCCTTCACAGATCGACACTTGGGTTTACAGACAACCAAATGTCAAAGAGAAAAGCGGCAGCGGCAGGGCCAATAAAAGAGAGTTCGCAGACAATCAAAGTAAAAGAAACAGACGTTTCCCTTTCGGCATGGAAAATGAAACAGGAATCCATTGTGGCAAATTATGTTATTGTCTGGCCGTTGTACGGTCCTGCTCCGGATCGGGAGTGCTTGTTCGCTCCTGTTTTGGAAATGTTGGAGTTTGTCAGGTCCCCAAGTGGAGAGATTCGGACCGTCCCTTTTCTTGGTAGCTTGCAGGCATACTGCACCAATTACAAGTACATTCGTTATTCATTGTTTTTATTCATTTGAAAGATTGATCGCACCAATTTTTAGTGTGTGTGTGTGTGTGTGTGTCTATATAACTTTCATTTGAAGTGTTGAACCTTGTTGCTTGCTGCTTGCGCATGGTTTTTTGAGCTTAATGCATGCTACATACCCATGTGATTTTTTATATGTATAACATCGATCGACTTCCTGATTTTTGGTTCTCGCCTTGATCCAGTTCAATTTGGAGACCCTTTGAATCGTGTTAGGACGGCCATCTTTGCTTGTGCAGTGGTGAGATGCTATTTTCATTTATTTTCTCCTTTTATTTTCGCTGCAAGTTTTTACTACCTTCTGCTTGCTTTTGTCATTATGGAGAAAATCGACTCGTCTTTGTCTTTGTCTTGTGGGTATAATCTATATACATATGATATATATTTTGTTTCTTGAGTTTGAATGCATGTTATTATACTCACTCTCTGCACTTTTTCCTGTGTGTAGCCAATGGAAAGAATATATCAATCCAATCCTTCCAAGTTCGAATACTTGTACAGTTTGGTAAACTTTGATGTCAAAACAAATACTCTTTTCAAGAGTACCTCCGTTTCTCTTGTTTGGCTCACAAGGTACACGATAGAATCATAAACTCATATTATTTTCTTTTGGCTTTGGAATCACCTTTGCACTTTGTCAAAATGCGATACATCACATTTTTCATACTACTCTTGATTTATTTTCAGATACATGGATTTTTTGGTAGAGCTGTTTCGGAACTTACGGGAGCTTCCTCCAGATTGGGTTACGATTCGGGCTGTTTATAATGCCTATGCCAAGACCCTGATAAAATGGCATGATGAAAAAATTGTACTGACTTTGATTCCCCTTCACTTATTTGGTGACCTAGGATTATTCGTACTAATCTTTCCCTTTGAATGTCCTATTTCTATGCTTCACTAGTGACAACTATATTCTGCAAGTTGCCGGCTTTGCATAGTTGCTTTTTAATTACTTGGCCCGGCAACACTTTAATGTATTTCCATGTTCTCCATATACTCAAACTAGTTTTCTTTCTTTTTAGTATATAGCACAGAACTCATATGAAAGCATGAAGCTATGACATTTATTAAACACGAAAGCATTTCTGCGTTTTCCCATGTTCGAGAAACGCCTTTCTTACTTCTTAGTATAGTCTTACTGCTTCAATAGAGGAAATTTCGGAAACCTCCCAGCAACTTATCATTAGCTGTACTCTATGATTTATTGTTTTACTATTCTCTTTAAGTGAAATTTTATTGGTTAGAAAATTTAACTTAATTGTTCACTGGAATGATAGCTTGGAAGCAAATATGCTCCCGAAAAAGACTTGTTGAAGGTGATCGGAGGCAATGGTGATGTCATGGGAGACATGGAGAAATTTTGCACTTCCTTTACTCCTCTACTTAAACAGAATCACGAGTTTTTGGTAAGTTATTTTTTCCAGTTGCATAATTTACTAGGCTCCTTACTCTTAATAATCCTTTCTCAGCTGGTAGGAGCCAATAAATCCTCCCTTCCGTGTCGAGGTTCTCTGAAGAAAGGGAAGTTTAAAATAGAAAAAGGAGGCAATGAATCGTTAAATCATTTGTTACTGTAAAATGTTAAAATATTTGCTCATGAACTTTACAGTTTTGAGACAGGCTGGAATGGATGATTTGAAGTTATATGGTGCTAGCCTTGTAGCAAAGGCACCAAGTCCAAACCCAAAAAAAAGAAAGATGGGGAAGACTATGTTTGCTCCTGCTTTGGAAGAATTGGAGAGTGTCAAGTCTGAATCAAAAGAGATTCTGACGAAGCATTTCTTGGAATCGTGCAATAAGATTTTGCCTGTTATAGGTTCATTCATTTCTCTCATTTATTTCATCCCGTGAATAGTGGCTTTAATTTTGGCTTTGCATAGAGATTGCAGTATCGATATTCATCAGATCCTTCCAAGTTCAACTACTTGTACAGTTTTGTGCAATTTGAGACCTTTCCTTCCAAGTTCAAGTACAGTTGGGATCAATTTGACACCTTTTCTCTTAATTTGCTGACAAGATACTCGATATAATCATAACCTCGTATGTTTTTTGTTTTCGTTTTATGCCTTTGCACTTGGTTGAAATGTGATCTATGCATGATACTATTTCTTGATGTATTATCAGAAACATGGATTTTGTGGTAGAACTGTTTCGTAACTTGCTGGAGCATCCAGAGTGGTTTACGATTGAGGCTTGTAAAGATTCCTACGGCAAGACCCTGAAAATATGGCTTGAACGACAGAAATGGTTTAATCCAAATCTTCCAATGAAAAGAGTAATGTCTTTGATGCCCTTAAAGTATTTGGTGCTCGATCATTGTTCGTACTTAACTGGTCGTTTGAATGTCTATGCTGGACTTAAATTTCTACGCCCGACTTAAATAGAATTATGACAATTATATTCTGCAAGTTGCCTCTGCTGCCTAGTTGCATATATTTTTTTTAACTACTGGGGCTGACCTCATTTTTAATGTTTTTTCATGTTCTCCATCCATGGAAAGCACCACTTCTTCTATGCAAGTTTCTCTCTTGTTCAAGAATTTAAGCATTGTCGAAATTACAGAACTCATCTGATCAAGCTTGAAGCTATTACACTTATTAAATCTGAAAGCATTTGTGTTTTTCCCATGTTAACAGAAAAGTCCTCCGTAATATATCGTTACTGTATTGAATGATAGAGGAAAATTGTCAAAACTTGCAGCAAAAGTCTGCTTAACTTATCCACTGGTTTTTTCATTGGTTGTTCTTTATGATTTAATTATTATACTTGATTGTTTTAGTATTCTCACATTTTTCCTCGCTGAAAGAAATGACAAATGAGAACTCTTTATGGTGATCAAATCGAACTATTAATCACTATAATGACAGGTCATACCGGCGCTTTCTACGGACAGACAGAAGTTCATGGAGAAGATCGAAGGCAATGGCGATGTGATGGGTGATATAAAGAAATTTTGCTCTATCTTTACTCCTCTAATTAAAGAGATTGACAAGTTTTTGGTAAGAAATTTTCTTACGTTGCAGAATTTAGTGATGTTGTTATTGATTAGCTTAAAACATTCTTGTGAGTTTTGTTAAAAGTTGTAATGCTCGAGTTAATGCAAAGTAACACGCGGATGTTCATTGTTTTGACACAGGCTAGTTGGGGCTCGGATAAATCTAAGCTGCTTATTGATGGGGAGGAGGCTTCTTGATTCAGTTGCATTGCCTGCCATTTGCCTCCCTCAACTTGTTTGCTATTTTTATTTATGTATTAAGTGTTGCTGTTCGGAATCCAAATTTTCACTCCTTTGAACTCAAATTATACATGTAGCTACATATATAATGGTCTTTGATCACGTTAGAGGGGAATTTGAAGTTCAATGACTGTTATCACAAAATGTTTAATGGTTACTTATTTTCAATCTGCGTTTGTTTTGTTAAAATTTTCAGCTTTAAGAGAAATCGCTAAATTATTCATGTGGAAAATGGTAGTTTGATTGTTATAACTAAGAGAGGAGGAGCATCTGGTCTAATAGAATTCATCATAAAATGTTATGGATGGAATGAGCTTTATATATTTTTTTTATTTGGATATTGGTAACTTTTTGCGATCGTAGTGGCACCGAGGAGACAGAGAGATAGAGAAAAGGTCGAGTCATCGCCGAAGCCCGCCCATCAATTTTGAGACTTTCTGCTGACCCAAGCGCAGCCACAAGCGGTGCCAAAATCGAGAAAAAATTGTCCCTTACGTACAATATAATATAGCCATATTTTAATTTCTTGACTTTTCTCAAAATTTTGTCTCATATTTTAATTTCTTTGATAACCATCCCCATTCCAAAACGAGTGCAGACTCGTTTGGAGATAAGTGTTTTTAGATTGAAAATGGGTTTTAGTGTTTGCAAGATGTACATGTTTAGTATTTTTTTTTAAATTATTTAAAGTACTTTTAAAAATCAAAATTAATCTTATCAAAAGCACTTTTAGTTATTTGAAAATAAAATAAGCATTATTTTCGAGCTTATAATTAGCCCTGACCAAATTCGTATTAAGTTGTGATGAATTAAAGAGAGATGGTGTTATTGTCTAGTGGGGCGGTAAAAATAATAATCCGTTAAGGCGGAGAGTAATGCGATGGGAAACGGACCGAGCCGAGCCGGTAAATCCATCGAAGCCGCTAAAGCCTTAATGATATCGACAACAAAGCCTCACGCGCCCGTCCCGGCGACCTCCCTCCTACACTCGCGGCTCATGCGGCCGGCGCTTTCCTCCCACCGACGCGACCCCTTTACTCCCTAACAACACGCACCCTCTCTTTCTCTATTCCCACCCACACCCCATTTTTTCAACGCACCGTTCCCGATGGGCGACCTAACGGACCTCCAAACGACGCCGTCCAATGCCACCACCACCCCTCCCTCCTCCAACCCTCGCCCCATGCCCGTCCGCGAAGACTGCTGGAGCGAGGACGCCACCTCCACTCTCGTCGACGCCTGGGGCCGCCGCTACCTCGAGCTCAACCGCGGGAACCTCCGCCAGAAGGACTGGCAGGAGGTCGCTGACGCCGTCAACGCCCTCCACGGCCACACCAAGAAGACCCACCGGACGGACGTTCAGTGCAAGAACCGAATCGATACAATTAAGAAGAAGTACAAGGTGGAGAAGGCTAGGGTTTCGTCCTCCAACGGAACCCTAACCTCGTCGTGGCCTTTCTTCGAGAGGCTCGACTCCCTCATCGGATCTAATGTCAAGAAGCCGTCTCCCTCGCCTCTCTCGCCTTCGCCGCCGGTCGCCGTTCCGTTGCCTTTGGGGTACCGGAAGACGCCGTCCTCGGCTCCGGTGGTGACGGCTGTGGCGCTTCCGCAGAAGCGGTCGGCGTCGACTGCGGCGCTCGACGAGGGTTTCTTTAGGATGAATTACTCGGCTGTGGCTGCGGCTGCAGCCGCGGGGGCTGAGGACGATGACGACGAGGATGAGGATGAGGACGATGAGGATAACGATGAGGTCGATGAGGAGGTTGAGGTGGAGAGGGAGAGGGAGAGCGGAGGCGAGATTGGAGGCGGGGGAGGAGAAGGGTTGAAGAGATTGGCGAGAGCGATTGAGAGGTTCGGAGAGGTGTATCAGAGAGTCGAGGCCGAGAAGTTGAGGCAGATGGTGGAGTTGGAGAAGCAGAGGATCCAATTCGCCAATGAATTGGAGGTGGAGAGGATGAGGATGATCATGGACACGCAGGTCCAGCTCGAACGAATTAAGCACGGCAAGCGATCGGGCTCTAATGGTTAGACAAATCTCTCATCTTTCTTGTGTTTGTATTATCTTTTGAGTTAAATTGATTGAATTGCTGTGCTTTGTTCGATGGTTTAATGCATGAATAGCTGTAGTGACAAAGGTTCTTCCTTGAGTTTGAAGCATCTGTTAATTTTAAAGATCCAAACTTTACCCTGATTGGGAAATTTAAATTAGGGGTTTTACTTGGAACTTTGAATTGGCTTTGGCAGTGTAGTAAAAGCAGTGATTGGCGATTGATTGTTTTGTTGCATATTTTACCGCAAACTATATGCTTGTTCTGCCCCTCTGTATTGGTTATAACATGGATGTTGCTGCTGTTGTTTGATTTTGAGAATTTTACACTTCGCCTATATGGCCAGGTATTCTTAATGCGATTACGAGGGATACTTTTTGTTAAATGGCTTTGATAGGCTTCATGTATGGGAGGCGAGGACGATGTTTCAAAGATGTTGAGAACTCTGAATTGTTTGGTGGAATTTCAAAACTTTGTTCCGAGCTTTACTGAACTTGAACTAAGTTGTTTTGATATCAGTTTTGATTTTGTTTAAAATGAAAATCGATGATAGCAAACATATTATCAAATGGAGGCCAAGATGGATTGGCTAGGGATGGGGAGTTGGTTGAGCTTGTTCATAGTTGTCCGGTCGAGTGTGTTGGTCTTTAATGTCTCTGTTGCATACTTTTCTGAGTCAGTAAAATCCTGTTCTTGCATCTCTTGTCCTTTGGTATGATTCTCTCTTTGAAGTGTTCTGGTGTTCATCACCAACACGCTTGATAAATGATATTGCATGCTTCTCTTACATCCTCATAAAGTTACAATATAACATCTCATGATGCCAACAAACACTTCTTTTCACCCTGATACGTTATCAACATTCGTTCATGAATGTGAAAGTTTGTAAAGCTGACCATGAGAGTTTTATGTAGTGTTCTTTCAATTTGTTTCATACCTCGCACCCCCTCCGTCTATGTGTGAGTGTACTTTTGCCATCTTATTTCTGTGGTCGTAACCTCAGGGGGATGTTTTCTATGACATCTGAGTGACTTCAATGTGAAACTTGACATCTAATTAAATTGACACTGAAAGATGGATCTCCCTGAGTCCTAGTATCATGCGGGAATCTTTCTGTTTGTTATGTTGCCACCACTGCACGGTTTTTAGAGTGGGTCTATGAGATTCATATGGAAATTACGTAATCTCTCGGTTAGCTCCTCTGCTTTTTGTCCAATAGAGCCAATAGTTCAAGTGATATGTATACTCTTGAATTCTTATACAATCATGTGAAATCTCACTTCATAGGATCTTAAAGTTTGTCATCACGTAAGTAATTTGAAGGTATCTACCTGGCATATCCATTTATTTGGATGATTTTGCCTTGTTTTCGATTTGTTGCCGGAAAATCATAGAACTTGTAAGACATAGGCTTTAAAAGTAAATTTCATGCCGCTTTGGGTTTTGGTATTGACCTGGGTTTCGCTCAGCTTGTGTTGAATTCCAGTCTGCATTTGCGTCTCTTGATTTCTAATAGCGTCTTTCGGTTTCTCCTTTTTACAGATATCTTTAGCTAGCTAGCCCAGTGACGGAGAAGCTTTAACGTTAAACTTACATGGGGGAAGCGTTATGTAGCATCTCCTTGATTATCCTAGAAAGTACATATTGTTGCAGCTGATGATACTGGACCTGAGAGAAACTGCTGTCACCAACAGTCCCGAGTTTTCTTTTCGGCTCTTTTTATCTTTTCTTTTCTTTTTTTTTCTTTCGAAATTACTATTATTGTCAACTATTATTTTCGGAACAATATAATTGTATTGTTAGCTTTTATTAGTTTGAACTCCACAATTCTAGTTGTCTTGCAATATATAAATTAGCAGTTAACTTCTTTTTGAATGTGTTTTCTTTTGCTTCTTTGGCTCACTATCCCTTGTTTGTCTATTCTCTTTTGCCATCTTATTTCCAAACTTTCACTTCCGCACAGCAATTTGGTCCTCCAGAATGAGGAGTTGCGTCACTGTCGATCAGGAACCATTTGAGATAAAAAAATCAATAACAAATTTGAATATTAAATGACTACCCAAGGATGAGTAGGAGCTCTAACTCAAAATTCTTTGTTTATGATTCACAGACCTTTGTGTCTATGATAAGAACTGTGTATATTATAAATTACTCTATAGAGATCTTGTCTGTAAAAAATCAATTAAAACTACGGTCATTTAGTCCTCGAATTATGTGAGAACAGGTGAATGGAATAGAAGCATTATGAACTATCTATCTATTTGCTACAGTTGGTCAACTTAATGACCTTAGTTTCAATTCATTTTTTGCAGAGATGATGTGATTTATACTGTGAACAGTTCCGATTATAAACATAAAATTCTGTAAATCAGACATAAATTTTTTTGAGTATGAGCTCCTACTCATTTTAAGTAGCCAAACATTACTCAATAAATATTTACCGTCATATTTTTTTCCTTCCGCAATTTTGGGTTTATGTCAGAAAATCATTCCAGGCACGTACGTAGATCTAGCACTGTCATGAAAAGGACAAGCTTAAAAGTCTCCACAAGATTCCAGATGCACGTTAAAGTTTTGCATCCAATTAGCAAATGATAAATATACCATTAACTATTCGTTCCCATTATTCCATGGCTCTCAAAACCTACCTCTTCTCAGCCTTTCTTTTAACATCGGCCATGCCATTTGCTCCACCCAAACATTTTCCCGCCAACTTGAAGACCAACCATGCTGAAGAGACACCAGAACTGGATGGCCCGATTCCGACACGTTTATAAGGATGCAGAAAAGTCTGAAGGGCGATACGTGATATTCAAAGATACATGTGGAGTTCAGTGAGGATTTTACAAACTCTTGAACCAAAACTACACACTAAGCATACAAGAATTTGCATATGTAATCAATGAGGAATTTCGAAACATTTGTAATGGTTACAAAGAAAAAATCCTCCAAAGTGATCGTGTCCAAAGGTGCAGGTTTTAGATATGAAAGTGTGACTGATCTGCCATGTACCTTCTGTGGATTGGAGAGAAAATGGCACGGTGACACCTATCAAGGACCAAGGAAAATCAACAAAATGCGACTTAGAAGAGAAGAAGGCGCCATTGATGACTTATGTTGTTTCAGTGGTACATGAATCGTTGGCCAGAGGGAGCAAGAGCTTGTGGATTGTGACACCTAGAAGGTGAAAATTATGCCTGTCAAGGAGGTCTAATTGGACAGTGATTTCCAAACAGTCTCCATAAACGGGTACATATGTGCCTAAAACAGCGAAAATGCTTTGTTGCAACTGTAGGCCATTGCGAGCCAGCCAATTTATGTAGCCATTGATGAAAGAGGATCTGCATTTTTATTCGAGTAGTGTGTTTTGTTAGAAAATAGAATTTCACATTGGTCATATATATGACAAAGTAATGTATAATTAATATATGATAGTTTCCATCCTTAATATCAACGATACATTTTACAATAAAACTCAACACCTAACAATAGGTGGTTAAGTTGAACCAATATTGGTAATGTTGGTGGTGGACCTGCATCAAAGTTTATCAGGTGTTACCGCAGTTGGATACAAGACTAATAGTGATGGACTAAGTATTTGTCTAATTCTTGCCCCTACAAAATGGGGAGAAAGTGGATGCTAGGGAATTCATGCCAAAGGAAGGATTCTGTGGCATTGCTATATAGAGGCTTCTTATCTAAGGCCACATGGGTTAGCTCCAGTGGCGGGGGTGGGTAAAGTGATGGGTAAGGGTATGCTCATTTAACGTAACATAAAAAAGAAGAAAAGAAAATGATAATGTTATCATATAGTTTGTGTCGAGCAAGTAAACTACCTTCTTGTTCATCAAATATTGGAAATCAAGACAAACCTTGAATAATAACAACTTACCACCTATATATGTATGTTTTCTGCTGCATTCGGCAATTGATCTGATCTGTACCAAATATCAATATACAGAAGAATTTGGTTTGCATATGTTTAAGGTTCTATATTGAACATGTTAATTAATTGATTTGTCATGCTCTGAATGTTCTATATTCATTGGGAGCGATGTGATTATTTTATAAGGCAATCGAATTATAAAATTATCACAAGCCATTTCTGAACGTTCTAAAATAATCTAGTCTGATAAATTAATTCGGCTCTATAACTGACTTATAAAATAATCACAAGACAATTCTGAATGTTCTACATATTGCAGAATATTTCAACTACAAATCACAAGCCATGATTTATAATTGGACACTTGGAGGAATTCTCGGGCAGATTATAAACTGAAAAATTCGGACTAGATAATTAACCCGAGGCTAATTAACAAAGAAATCACTAATCATTAGAAATTAATGACTAATGTGATATTTGCCACCTGAAGATCAGCAAAATACTCTTGTACCTGTTTATTTTATGGGAGCTGTAACGACGTACTTGATATGAAAATGTCCGGGATAACTAGAATTTAGAAATTAAAGTGTCGATTGCTACCACTTAAAATACAAACCATTGAGCTAGCTTTACGTACGCAGTGAACATTATTTAACGTAAACTAGCTAGCTAGAACTATATTTTTCAGAGAGGGGGAATTAATACATTATATATGATGAAGAGATGAGTCTTCTATAAATATTGCACCATTTCGATATCCATCGTCCATATATATGCATCCAATTGAGATCTTGTAGTGATTCTGCAGAGAAAACTAATGAAACAATCGTTAAATTTCAAAACGAATTAGTTAGTAGTTAAACATGATCAATGACATCAAATTTAATTACAGAAATTTCACATCTTAATCAAAGATAAATTGTTGTTACTACTTCTGTAACTTTTGCTTCCAACAAGTATGTATAACGTATTATACATATGCATGTACAAATTTCTTGAAACCATTGTCATTGTGAAGCTAACATGCATCCATCAAGTAAAGAGACGGAGAAAGAGGTAAAATATCAGGATATATAATGAACAGAATTAAAATGTACAAGAGTACCTATGAAGAACGATTAAACTCTATGAGAATATATTATACCCATCAAATCATGTAGTCGTATGAACCGTCCCATATCTGATCATATATTAAGACTCCTAATCATAATATCCCAAAATAAACAAGGGAGGAGCGTTATTGTCAGCGGATTTCATTGTATTTTTGGTGAAAATTTTTCATGTCACGGTATCAGAGTCTTTTCTCTCAATAACTTTCTCCTCATGTGATTTAGGAGAATTAACTTTTTTTGTCATGGTGAGTATCCCCCTTTCTATCTCTTTTCTCGCATGACTAAGACCGTGACAAGAAATGTATTATTTATCCCTAATTTTTTTGGTCTATTGCGTTTACTTTCTCATTGACATAAAACTGTGTTAATATGTTCAGCAAGAAATGAAATAAGATATATATATACATGTAGAGCCTCCATACCAAAATATAGGTTGCTCTAGTACTATGAATTACAACCTCCTGATATGGTACTCTCTCAACATCGATCAATTGGATCTAAGAAAAATGTTCATGCATGGCTACCTATTAGTGCACATCAATGTTTAACTTCTCAAAGGTAGAAACTTATAAATTCAACCAAGATAAGAGACCTAAATACATCTCAATGCCTTTGAATTCATAAGACTATTATCACTTGAATTTAAATATCTAGATAACAAACTAGAGTTTGACGTTGGCTGAGTTTCCTGTTTAACACAACAAGTCGTTAGTCTGGTTAGGGAACACTTTTTGCCACTTAAACAACGTTTAATTTTAGCTACTAGCAAGCTAATTTAACCTTGCCAATCGATGTCATTTAGCTGTTCATGTGAACTTCAACAGGCCGTACAACCAAAGCTTGGAAAATTGGAGTTCATCATTTTTGTCGACTCCAAATTCCATTTTTCAATTCTCATTGTCTCAAGATCAGTCAATTATTTAGGAAGATAAGAAACAAAACTAGATAATAGCTTGGAACATTCTTAAGTTATAATGCATAGGCAACAAAGTTGATTAATTACTTGAGTTTATAGTGGCATAGAATCCTAATTCTGTGGAATTAAGATAATACAAAATACGTGAAGATCTCATGTATAGACATACAAATCGATGCACAGCACACCAAGATCTTTAGTTAACAAACTAAACAAATCGTATGTCAACAAATATATACACATAAATATACATATATATGTGTATAAATATATCTGTGTGTGTGTGTATCTATGGTTTTGGATCCACCGCAAGAAATAATATATTGTTGCATGCATCCATACATACATACCATACATACATACATATATATATATATAACGATTTGATTGGAGAGAATCATATATACTATTTTATATAATGAATATATACATATATACATATATCACTGTCAGCAATACTAGAACGTTAGTTCTTACGTCCAAAGTATACGACTCATGCAAGGACGTATGTTTGTATGGTATTATCACATATATGTGGTGCACCACGGGGAGCACTAAATCGCACAGAATCATAAAAGACCCCAAAACAAATGAAAAGAGAGAGTATATATACACACACACACTAGCAAGACACATATTTAATATTTAGGACAAAACAGAAACAGAGTTATGTCTGATTGATTGAGAGAAAGAGAGAGAAAGTAATTAATATATAGAGAGGGATCATAGATGTGATCAAGTAAAATTACCCACCTCTACCAATTTAACTAAGTTCTTCATCGATATCACTCAGTGCACTATTATGTATAGGCTATAGCTTGCAGTAACTAAATCTAGATCTTGCAAATTAGGGTTTTTTGGGATTAGGGTTTTATGATGAAATTGAGATCTCAGTCTCAAATTTTAGTCAGAATTTTGAATCTTATAAATTTCAAATTAATTAACCTACCTCCTCCATTTTCCTTTCAGTTTAAACTCCCTTTTCGGGAATTGATGAAAACCCTTTTAACATGAAGCTGATCATGAATTACTATAACTAGGTAAATATCTACAGGTTACAGCAGCACGGGGTAGCTACCATATGTATACATAGTACTTGATGATTGGGTAACAAATTAAAAGAAAAAGAAAAATTACCGTTTAATAATCTCCATCAGAATGCCAAAGGAACTGATTCAAGACGTGATCTGCTTCAGAGTACCCTCGTTAATTGCCTTAAGCTGACCGTTCCTCTTCTTCTTCTTCTTGTACGGAATCCCTCTTGCTTTAGCCTGACACTCCTTCACTTCACGTAAGTAAACCCGAATAGCTCCATTCCCAAAAGGGTTTGTCTCCGGGGACCCTCCATGCTCCTCGTAGGCAGCACGGAGGCGTCCGATCAGCGCATCCAGACTACCCCATGCCTGCCTGAGAGGGCAGGTGCACGGGGCAGGCGGGTCAGGCTGCCCAAAGAAGACGCAACCGTGTAAGTGAACCTTAGTCTTTCCGAACTGATCCAAGTAGCGGAGGAAATCGAGGACGTGGTTGCAATTGCAATGAGAGAGTGACACTGGGGGTGATTGGTTCTTCAAGTACTGTCCGAAAGTGTTCCAGTCGCGGCGTTTCTGGGACTCGTATCGGCTGAGGGGTTGAGGTGCTTGCTGTTGTTGAGAAGTGGATCGTGATGAGGAGGAGGAGGAGCCCTCGATGGGAGTGGAGTCTTTTCTTCGATGACTGTGATCATGATGGGGTGCAGACATGATATTATCGTGGTGGTGGATGTGGAGGAATTCCTGTGTATTTTTTGCAAGAAATGGAGAAATGACAAGGGGAAAAAGAAGGAAGCAAATAGAGAGAGAGAGAGAGAGAGAGAGAGAGGTGTGTGGAAGAAAGAATGAATAGGTTATAGTGCAATGAAAGAAAGATGAAAATCACATCTTGATGAAGTCTATAGAGAGGACTTGTCATGGGCCCTATGAAGGTGCTTTGTGTTCCTCTTTTTCTATCCCCTTCTCCATGACTCTCTCTCAGAGGTTGATTTTGACACTATTAGCACTAACTATATTTTATTTATGCTAATGTAACCTGTAGTGACATAGGGTACTACTCATCCAAAAGAATTAAGTCACACAACCATTTTTACTTCTCATACACCTCTTTTAATTTTGACTATCCGATCGAATAAATTGAAGAAAATCAATGACAAAAATTTAACAAGAATCTATTGAAGGTAAAAATAGGTGTGTAAATTATACATCATCCTATAGTAATGCTAGCGCAAACACAAAATATTTAATTGTTATATGACTTCACATTGTAATCACTAATCACATAGCATATTTATGGACTCCGGTTAATTACATAGAATAATCATTCATGTTAGTACTGTAGATATAATGTTCTCTTTTTTCATTTTATATAATCTAGCACAGTAATGATAAAAAAAATCAGGCAAGTAGAACTACACATAACAACTAAGTCATTTAAATGCTACAACAATCTACCCTTCCCTCACTTTGGGCAATAGAATGTCCCTCCAGTCCATTAGACACCCATACTTACCAAAAGATGAAAATTAGTTACCGTCATATCACATATAGTTAATACTAATTAGAATTGAGTAATATTCGACACAAACACTAGATAACATGATTTAGACACGACATGACATAATATGACTAGATTTACCATCTTTAATGAGCAGTAAATGCACTAAGCAAACACAAGTAAAAGTTTATAGAATTATTAAAGAGCTAGAGATAGAGATAGTTTAGTATTGTGAAAAATTATTACCAACGTGGTCCATGATTTATATATTCACCCCCACTAATAAAGTTATCCTATTGTGACCAATAATGTACGTACGTATCCTTATTTTATTTTGGACACTGTTTTTTTTACCTTGAAGAATATACAAATGGAGTGTGGCCTTAGTATACTTAAATCTAGGGTTTGAAACTCTAGATTTTGGAGACATCTTTGAGAGATGGGTAAGGTAATGGATATGAGTAAATTAGACGTCAATGATTCAAAACCCTCCTTTATATAAATAAATTTAGAAAAAAAGGTATACCTTAAATCTAAGTTAATTCTTTCAGGAAAATTATGGGAAAGAGAAAAGAAGAATTCTTTTACAATGATTATATGCATATCAAGAGTAAAGAATACGAGACACTAAAAAGAGGGGATGAAGCGAAGACATCTTTGAGAGATGGGTCCAACCCTAAGTTTATGTTCCGAATAAATAGTGCTGATTGGAGTATGGACACCGGCTTTATAGATACAACTTGTTTGGCATTCTAGGTTTTATACACAGAAGCTGCTATTGACATTTTAAAAACGTTATTTTACATTCCTTATTATAGATCATAGGCCCTAGCTAGGGGACGAGTCACTTAAGTTAGGGTTGGAGTGAGAGCTAGAGTTAAGCTGTTTCATATAATTTCTCTTCTATTATTAGATGGGCTGACTGGTTTGGTGAAGGGAGTCAGTTAGGATCAGAGTGAGCTAGGGTTTAAGTTGTTTATTAGACGACTCAAGAATACATATGATCATCGGCTACCTCGATCTGTGTCTACCTCTACTCATCTCATTTTAATTAGCTTGAGTATTAATCTAAGCTCTAGGTAAAAACTATCTAATTGAATATTAATTTAATCGATCAGCTACCTTCGATCTGCGGTTACCTTTGATCGATCAGCAACCTATGACATAACAGCATATTTACCATATCAATTGTATCACGAGCACGTAAAGCTCATGGTAAAAACTATTCAATTACCACCGTCCAGTTTAACTCGTGGTAAATAACTGTAAAGCATCAAGTGTTATTGAGAAAAGAGATTATACAGAAGCAAGAAGAAGAAGAAGATAGAAGGAGACGATCGGAGATATTTGAGAGAGAAGTTTGTTGTGAATTGTTGTATTCTTTTCTTATTAGTTACAATGATTTGTTACAAGCTATATATAATAACATTTGGTAGCTTACACTTTAAGTAACAATATAACCAATGTAACTAACTTCATGATCTTTTGACACTTGTCCATTTCATAACCATTGGATCTTAATACTCCAAACATCCCCCCTCAAGCTCAGGGGCAGAGAATTGAAGCCTGAGATTGGCACAATGAGTCTGAAATAGAGGAGCAGATAATCCTTTGGTGAGTATATCAGCAAACTGCTCGTTGGAAGAAACAAAATGCACCTGCAGTTTCTAGTTTGCAACCCGTTCTCGAACAAAATGCACATCAACCTCGATGTGTTTTGTACGTTGATGCTGAATAGGATTTAAGGTCAAGGCGATGGCAGACAAGTTGTCACAAAAGAGAAGGGGCGTGTCTTGAACTGGAACATGCAGAAAATGCAACAGTTGATGGAGCCAATCAAGTTCAGCAGCGGTAGTGGATAATGCCCGGTATTCAGCTTCTGTGGATGAACGAGAAACAGTAAGTTGTTTCTTGGAAGACCACGAAATTGGATTAGATCCTAGAAACACAACCATCCCAGTAGTCGATCGCCGATCATTCGGATCGCCTAGCCCAATCTGCGTCACTATAAGCAGTAATATCCAAAGAACCCTTGACATAATGAAGACCACAACCTCGAGTAGCTTTGAGATACCGAAGAATCCGTTTTACTGCCATGAAATGAGACTCTATAGGATGTTGCATAAACTAGCAAACCTGATGAACGGCAAAGGCAATGTCAGGTCTAGTGAATGTTAAGTACTGTAACGCTCCAACTAAGCTGCGATAAAGGGCAGGGTTATTATAAGGTTTGCCATCATCTTTGAGCAGCCGGTTGTATGGCAGGCATGGAGTTGCACAGGGTTTAGACAGTAGCATATCAGCCTTAGTTAACAAGTCTGTGACATATTTGTCTTGAGAGAGAAATAAACCATCAGTCTTCTGCACAATCTGAATCCCCAGAAAGTAGTGTAGGGTGCCCAGATCTTTGATATCAAACTCTCGTGTAAGGGAGTCAATGACCTCAGTAATTGCATGTGGTGCACTGCCAGTAAGAATAATGTCATCCACATACAAGAGTAAAATTACCACAGAGCTGTCAACAACCTTTACAAATAATGAGGAATCGGCATAAGTGGATTTGAACCCCAGAGATGGTAGAAAGCTCGTAAACCTCTCATTCCAAGCCCTTGGTGCTTGCTTTAAGCCATATAAGGACTTATGTAAACGACACACATAATCTTCATGTTTGGAATTCACAAATCCGGGTGGTTGAGTCATATATACTTCTTCTTGCAGGATACCGTGGAGAAAGGCGTTTTTCACATCTAATTGCCGCAATGGCCAACCAAAATGTGCAGATAATGCTAGAACAAGTCTTACTGTCGTAGGTTTCACAACCGGACTAAAAGTCTCCCCAAAATCGATACCGGCTTCTTGATTAAACCCTTTAGCTACTAGGCGAGCCTTATACCTCCCAATAGAACCATCAGCATTCTTTTTGATCTTGAAGACCCATTTACAGCCTATTAAGTTCTTATGGTGGGGTAGAGGTACTAGAGACCATGTACCTTGATTTTGCAAAGCTAAAATCTCATCTTGCATAGCCGCAGACCACACCGGGGACTTTAAGGCAGACTTATAAGTGGCAGGCTCCACTTGACTCAGATCAACCCCTCCATGTTCATGCAGATCAGCTAAAAGGGCAATTTTCTTGGAAATACCATTCTTGGACTATGTCTGCATAGGATGGAGATTCAGTGGTGGTATAGATAGTACCACTTGCAGATGGTCCGGGTGGAATTCAGGTACCACAGGGAGAGTGGTAGACAAGGGCTGTGTAAGTGCAGCAACAATGGATTGACTAGAGCTTGAGTCTTCAGAGTTTGAACTTGGAGCAACAGTTGAGATGGAATGAGGCTCAGAAGAGGCTTGATGCATATCAGTATTTGACAGAGGACTAAGTGGAGCATTGGAATCAGGATGTACAGTACCATAAGATGAACCAAAACTAGATGAATTTGGAGGTGTTGGGAAACTAAGAACATTATTATGATCTGGAACTGGAAAATGGGAAGGTATGAGTGATGGTAATGGTGCAGAAGTGACAGATTGGTATTTAAGGACCAATGACTTGTAAGGAAACTCAGTTTCATCGAAAATCACATGTCTTGACACATAAACTTTCTTCGTAGCCACATCATAACAAAGATACCCCTTATACTTAGATGCATAACCTAAGAAGACACACTTTGTTGTTCTAGGGTCTAATTTAGTGCAAGTGTATGGTCTTAACCATGGATAACAAGAACACCCAAACACTTTCAAGTGTTGAATTTCAGGGAAAGAATGATACAGCAACTCAAATGGAGATTTATGATCTAATGTTGGGGATGGCATGCGATTGATCAAATAGACTGAAGCTTGACAGGCAAAGGACCAAAACAGGGATGGTAATGAAGCTGTCTGTAACAAGGTAATGGATGTTTCAACGATATGCCTATGTTTTCTCTCTGCTGTACCATTTTGTTCGGGTGTGTGAGGGCAAGACATCTGATGCTTTATTCCTTTATCAAGAAGAAATTGTTGAAGGACCTTACTTATATACTCACCACCACCATCACTTTGAAGATCTTTTATAGTAGTATGAAACTGATTTAGAATGAAATTGTAGAAGGACACAAAAGTTGCAGAAACATCACTTTTATTGCAGATCGGAAACAGCCAACAGTACTTAGTACAATGGTCAACGAAAGTCACATAATATTTGAATCCCTCAAAGGACACACAAGGAGCAGGGCCCCACACATCACTATGGACAATATCAAATGGGTGTACAGACTTTGAAACGGACGGAGAGAATGGTAGTTTACTAAACTTACCCTCTAGACAAGTTTGACACAATGAAGGAATACTATCAGCAACACAAG